TCACCTGTGTCTCTGTCATCAGTCTCACTGGTGTCACCTGGTGGCCTGGGTATATATACCTCTGTCCCTCACTCAGTCCTTGTGGGTTCATTGTTCTTAGTGTGGTGTTCAGTGTCTGTTGTGTTCATACCCTGTTGATCTAGTTCAGTCCTAGTGTTCTTGCTGAGATCCTGTTGTTTCTCCCCTGTCCTGTATCCACTGAGTTTTTGTCTTAGTTTTGAGTAAACTTTCTGCACCTGATCCTTGTCTCCCAGGTGTTGCATTTGGATCCTGCCTGCTTCTTCTCCTGGCACAACGGAATTATGAACTTTTTATTATGTAGTAAGAATGTTCTTACTTTTTAATGTCAGATATTACGCAGGGTCAAAGCCAAGCCTCACCTGAGTCTAACCTAAAGTGTTATGCATTCCCTACTGCTCTCTTTCCATGTTATCGGTTCACTTTAATTAGTTTGATCTAACATTTTAGTATCTCAGTCATTCCATTTTAGTAAGTTACAAGAAAGATTTATCGTTACACTTGTAATGGTTTATAGTTCACTCGTGGACTGTTTCATGTATTTATAAAATTGACAAAAATAAAAATGATGACAATTGTCAGTATCACCATTTTTGATCCTAAAACATATGCATCATTACATACTGTTTATTTAGGAATTCACAGTACACATTACCAAAAATGTAATCAATAACTTTTAAACTTTAGTTTCATTAACTAACACTTAACACCATGTCTAATTTCAATTAGACCGATATAAGCCTGGTAATTTTTTATTCATTTTTATTTAGCTGCACAAACCGCTGTATCAGTTGCTAGCACCAACGTTCTGCATACAGTCCCCTGATTGTTAAAAAAGATTTACTAAATTAGCTGCAATGCTACAATTTAGTGACTTTCACTGTAATATGCAGCCGTTTATCCCCAAAACTATTTTAATTTTTAAATGTATTATCGGGTTGTCATTATCGGAGAAAAAACCGATAACGATTCTTACAGATTTTACATGATCTGCTAATATAGGTCAGAGAATATCAACACTATGAAAGAAATGAATAGTGACATAATTATATATATGTTATTTTTACATAATTGGTATTTTAATTAAATAATGACACATTAGATCATATGTTTATGTTTTTAATTCCAGTTTTAATTGATCTATTGATGGCAGTTTTAATGTCCTCACTTTACCTCAGCTATAAGGGAAACCAGCACGAGCTAGGTTATACTGCCTCCTGCTGGTACACACTTGGTATCTGCACATTAAGACATTTTCCATTCGGAATACTTTATTTCAAATATCTTTCCCACAAAATAAAATAATCCAACTGCTTTTCAGTTTCAGCATTTATTTATCTTCAAGAGTAAGCAGACGTTAGTGTGTTTCACTGCAGAGGAATAATGCTGTACTGCATCCCTGAGGATGAAATCCAGGGAAGGTCGAGATGCTTCGTTAAAAGGAACATGCCGTGTGAAAATGGCAATACGTGTGTTGTCTGTGTATGACTGTGGAAGCTTTGGGTGTACGTGGATCGTGTTATTTTGTCTATGTATTCAAACGTGTCATCATTTAATCTATTAAATAAATAAATTATTAAGTAAATTCTATTTACTACATACTGATGTGCAATACTGCACGTTGTTCTTGACAGCCCTCGTATCCATGAAGTACGTGATGTCCAGCTGTTCGGCTAAGACGAAGGATTAAAAAAAACAAACAAACAAACATCTGAACTGTGTAGCATGGGTTCCATTGTTATCCAACTCTGCCATCTAGTGACAAACGACCATTCACACTCACAATCATACCTGTGGTCAATGGTTATAATAATAATAATAATTATTATTATTATTATTATTATTATTATTTTCATCATCATGTGCACATACTAAGGAATTTGGTTTGCGCTGAGTGTTTATCTTTTTGGAAATAGTTTTGTTGTTGTTGTTGTTTGTTTTGTTTGTTTGTTTGTTTGTTTGTTCTGTTTTCTTTTTCATATAATGTTGAGGACCGATCTTGGCGTAAATGTCTATTAACGTTGAACATGAAGAGCACAAAGCTTGTCATCTGCACCTCAAACTGTTATTTATATTTGTTTTACAAACGGATTAGCCTGAGCTGTGCAGCATTATCCAGTAGATGGCAGTATGAGGCTACCTTAAGACAAAATGAACGCAATCACAGATCTCTCACTGTAGTGCACACGGATTTAATTATGGATTGCGTAGACTCTTTATCCATCAGTCAGATTATTGGACACATCCTGCTAGTTGTTTGTTTTGAGTCTTTTCAAACCACTGTATTCGTTTCATATCGTTTTATTCTTTACACTGTCCTATGTAAATCCCACAGGAAGAAACAGGCCAAAATACCCAGGTAGTTGAGCTGCTGCTGAAAGTGATGGATGGCTTTGAGTGGGCTCAAACTACGGCGGCCGTGAGAGACCTGCTGGGGCCGTCAAGCAAACGTGCTCTCAGTTTGCAAAACCGTAATCTCATTTTACTGAATTGCGCTCTAGTTAAAGTAGACCTCGTGCTCACGTTATTAAACCGTGCAATCGCCTATCAAAACCGTGCTCTTGGTTTATTTGAGCTAAATCTGACGCACGATTACTGTAGATTAAAGTGTGAAATATCAGCAGGACGTTCTTAAACCACCAAAGAGTGTCACTATCGCTGCTGATATTTCATCTCTGTACATACACTGATTAAAGTCCAGGGTTTACCCACTAAGGAACTCAAGTTCAAAAGCTTCCTCTCAGGTCATGCATACCGGTTGTTGTTTTATGCCTGTTTTCCCATTTCCATTTCACTGGCTGGCAGTCAATAGAAGCTAAAACATTTTTTTTTTAAATCCCAAAGAATTTCCAAATGTACTATGTGCTTGTTTTAAACCAAGTTGGGTTCATCAGGACAAGAATTCAGTGCTTTTACTCATTTCTTGCTGAAATCTGAGTTTTGTGACTACAAAAAGACTAATTTTCCAGTTCAGGATATAACTCACAGTTTCTGACGTTGCTCCCGTCCTCAGAAGATGAAGCCTCCACACCGGTTCAGTAATTGCTTGGATGTAATTAAAGTTCAGTGCGAGCAGTGTGAGATTGGGATTTATAAAGGTCACGCTGGATGAAAAAAAAGATAAATGTTCTTTCTTTTTCACGTACTTTATAAGTACTGCAGTATTTTTTATTTATTTTTACTGGTTTCTTCTAACAATGAGTTTGAAGTGGAGTTTATGTGAAACAGATTCTGGCGTCACATCTCATCCCTCTGCACAAAAGAGAGTCATAACCAAGTGTTACCTCGTGATTATCCATCAGGGTTTGATGTTATTATCTTCAAGGTACAGCGTGTTAATGAGATCAGGACATCACTGACGATGATCATTATTATTTCATGTTCTGTCTGATGTGAATGAAAATAAATTGTAGGACTCCTCGTTCAACAGCCAAGATCTCACTCCGAGCAAACAAACGCAAGATGGCGTTGCATTGAAATCATTGTACATTATCATCATCATCTGCACTTTGCCTCGCCTATAAATTCATTATGAGAGGGAAACCATATCTGATGCACCACAGACGCTGCCCTGCCATTATCAGGACACATCTTGTTCCGACGTCAGGGCCATTTTGTTTTTGCCGATGCCTTAAACGTATACCTCATGGTACAGAGAGACAGCTCTGGTTTGAAGCTCACAGTGGCTTCTTGTGGGTTTCTTTTGAAGCAATACAACGTGTTAGTATTAATGAATCACTCATCAAACATTTTTTACTCCAGAACTCTCCTCTAGCACATCCCGCCCGTTTTAAATCAATCGTCTCTGGGCTCCTCAGCACAGGATCAGACCACCTCAACCGTGCCTATCCACAACTAACTGTTAACTCATCTTGTCTGATCTGCCCAAACTTAGCATCTTTAAAGCTGCGAGCTCTGTGTTTTCACTCCCTCCCTGAACACATTCTCTAATCACACACCAGACATTTCCTGTATTATGGTACACACTGTTGTGTTAACTAATCCTCCTTCAAATATCCACCTCTCCATGTTATTCCAATGCATTTAAATAGGGATGTCCAATAATATCGGTCGGCCGATATTATCGGACCCCCAATAATTAAGTAATATCTGTAAGAATTGTTATCGGTTTTACATCCGATAATGAAAACCCGATAAAGCGATGCCTGAGTTTCACCAAAAATTCTGGAATCACTTGTGGGGTACTGAGATGTTTACCACAGTTTGGGGGGAAAAGGGCTGCATATAATCGCTATCAGTTGATATCGTAATCGGAAATTAAGTGTTTGGACAATATTGGGATATCGGCAAAGAGTTAATACCAGACTTCCTGACATTTAAACATAGATAACACTCTTAGATAAGAACTTTGTGGTCCACGGAGACTTCAGGCTACCTCATCCCAGTACTCCCTGACACAGAGTTCTTCTTTTTCTCTACATTTTCCTTTATTTGTGAATACTTAAAAATACTCCAAGTTTTTTTAAATCAAATTCTGGACATTAGTACATTTCCACATGTGTCAACCTTACCCGCTGCACTTCCTTTTCAAGTATTTCTATACTTTTGTCCAGCTTCAAATACAATTACATTTCAGATTTCTGATTTTGTGGCTGAACTATTAGTGGATTAAATTCCCCGGCCCCTTGAACTCTTGAAATACCAGAAGGTACACTTTTAGAATGTATACATATTTACTGTTAGAAACAAATGGGAACAGCAATAAATTAATTCTATCACATAAAGTGAAGGTCTGTACATCTAAGAATTGATAAATTACTATAGCACAAAATCACAGTGAGACGTGTTGTACTGTATAAATAAACCAAAACACTCAGAGGAAAAGAGGTGGAAATTAAGCAGAAAAACAAATCACAATGACTTCATTCATAACTTGACATTAATTTTTACATGAAAACATTTTGGTGAGCTCACAAAGTAATGTAACCATGAACTGCTGAGAGGGGCCAATGTTGAAAGTGGAATCTAAACAGAGCCGAAGTAAAAGATTCAATAAAAAATAAAAAGTTGTTCAAACCTACAAATCTGATGGTTTCATCAGACCATCAACTCTTTAAGGTGTACGATAACAAGAACAATAATCACCAGAATTTGTGAGAAGATACATACACACACACACACACAAGCCAAAGTCAGAAACACAACCGTTTCTACTGCTGAGCTGAGTGTCCAATTCATATTTAATATTAATACAAATAGCGTTTTTAACATTTATGTGCATTTGTCTGACTGTCGCTGTCCACATCAAGTTTGACTGGTATGAAATAAATCAACCAGCGTTCTGGTCAATATTGTCATAAATATCGATCTATAAAGGTTTAAAAACAGGATTATAGAAATTATTATCAATGTGATGACATAATGATATTTGATATAAGTCAGACAGGTCTGCACATACGGATTCATAAGGCTGTCCAGATCCACCACACACCTTAATGCTCTCCTGTAGCTTGTACTTAAACATCTGTTTCACCCTGATAAAGCATTTTGACATTTAGATTACCTCACTGTGGGAGGAAGGGTTCAAATGATCTCTCTCTTTCACAGAGTATTGAAGATTGTATCGATAAGAGTACTTTTATCCCGAGAACTATACTCTAGTATTATCTACAGCAGATCGATTATGTGTGTATTCCATAGAGGCACTACATGACACCACTGTATGTTGGGGTTTAATTCTTCTTTTTTTTTCTGTGTTCTGAATTTTCTCCCCAGCCGTCTCAGACGGACAGCGATCCTTTGTTCAGACAATGGGTAGAGAAAGTAAAAGAAAACTAAAACCAGCTGCTACTTCTTGAAAAGAAACAATTTCAGTGAGAAATTTTCAGCCAATCAATAAGAGCCAGCTGCTGAAACTCTGGCCACACAGGAGACGGTCATGTCCAAAAATAAACTGAGACCAAACGAAATTCAAAAACAATCAGAAAGAGCTGAAACATTAAATATACAGTATATAAATATATATACTGTATATAAAGGTGGTCCTTGACTTGCGTCCGAGTTCCTGTCCTACGATGTGACGTAACTCAAGTCAGAACTCACATACTGAACATAAGTGTCTATGTCACTCACCTACACTAACACAGTGGTGACATCATCATCTATTACATAAAACATCAGAAGACTCTGACTTACGCCTGGGACTCATAATGAAGGGCAACATTTTCAACCTGTAATGACGCTCCGAATAAATGAATGGGAGATGGCAACGTAATCACAAAACACCATCGGTCGAGGACGCCGTAAACCAAGGACCCTCTGGATATATATTTATATATAGATGGTCTAGATAGATAGATCTATCTATCTATCTGAATATATATACATAGATAGATAGATATAGATATACTTGTATATGTGTTCACTATAGCGCCCCCTACCAGTGAAATCTGCAGCACAATACTAACTCCTTGCAGTAATGAGCAAATGGAAAGATTTTTTCAACCAAAGAGACTTTGTGCTACAGGTATAAAACACACACACACACTCACTCCCATACACAAAAGCTTATAAACACACACACAGTTGTTAAACTGTTCACCAGGGACCCTCTCAGTCTTCATCCCCTTGCTGGTCAAGTAGAGATGCTGCGTGAAGCAAACATCCTCTAAAATATCCAACCAGGGAGTGAGTGAGCTGAATGCGGCTTCGTTCCGACAAAAAGTGTCCCTCGTCTGGATAAATCTGTATTGAAAAAAGAAAATACATTTACAAGGTTATTCTTTCGTAATAATTTTTCAAACAACACCGAACCATTAGATTTTTAAATTATTATTTTTTTAATTCAAATGGGTAATTTTGTGTTGAATTAGCCCTTTAAAGTGTTAACCTTCTGGTAAGAACGTCACTTTTTTTTCTCAGTGTAAAGTGTAAATTCACTACGTATAAAGCACTTTTTTTCATCAATCGGAAAGCACCACACTTTTAATATACATATGATAATGTATTAATTGCAAAGCTTATTTGTTTAACGTAAATCTTTACGAAGACAAATGATCCCCATCTCTGTCTGTGTTTCTGTAGAGACCAAAGTAACAGGTTTTTATGAGCTTGGGTTTGGAAAATTACATTTGAATGAAAGAGTAGAGCCATGCAGACATGCAGTTTTTTAAGGTGGTGAGGGTGGCTAATCATTCCAAAGACGTGAAGATAAAAATCAAGAATTTTCAATCCAGAAGCCTGTAATTAAATCACATGGAAATGCAGTGACGTTTGACCAATTTACTAAGCACATTACAGCCTCTGTTCAAATGGTAACAATGTTAAATCCACGCAGTTAATTCATGCACATTATGTGAAACGATACAACAAAATTAAACATGGCTCAACTCCTCAGCAGTGAAAACATGCTGCAGTGCTTCTTTTTTTTAACAAAAGCACAAACAACAACAAACAACAGAAAACACATTAAAGGTGAAAATAAATAAAATAAATATTAGATACTAGAGATGAGAGGTCGGTAGCTACAGGTTAGCCAAGAAATAATGTTAACTCCAATATCTTAGCTGCAAAAACAATTCCAAATTAGTTCAGTCTTAGCTAAAGGGGCAGCTGACAATGGTAGAAATAGCCAAAAATGTTGCAGTCATGACTAAAATGACTCCAATCATCCAGCCAAATATAAATATTAGATACTAGAGATGAGAGGTCGGTAGCTACAGGTAAATAAATATTAGATTCTAGAGATGAGAGGTCGGTAGCTACAGGTTAGCCAAGAAATAATGTTAACTCCCATATCTTAGCTGCAAAAACAATTCCAAATTAGTTCAGTCTTAGCTAAAGGGGCAGCTGACAATGGTAGAAATAGCCAAAAATGTTGCAGTCATGACTAAAATGACTCCAATCATCCAGCCAAATGTCACTGAAAATATATAGAATGAAAATCAAAAAAGGCTCAAAGCTCAGGAACAGCACCACACTGACAGAATTGGGGGGGGGGAGCAAAAAGCTCAAATCCCAGAAATAGTGGAATGCCAGGTGAAGAAAGTTATATTTCCTTAAACACCAGTAACAAGCTGTATGTTGTGACCTAGTCTAAAAATGTCACTTTATCTCCAACACCTGTACCTGCATCGTGTAGTTGGCTCCAATCTTTATCAGATGTTTGATGAGCTCTGCTGAATGTTGGAAGTGGACGTTAGCTGTAGAGAGGAAATAAGACGTTAGCTTGGCAGATACTCAGGCCAGATCAATGTTTTATTGCTAATTTTGTAAAAAACAAAACAAAAGAAAGAACGTTAAGGAGACGTTAATACCATCTGCTGTGCCATGAGTCAGAAACAGGGTTCCTCCCTGAAGACCCTTCAAGTTGGTCAGGACTCTCGATGCCTGGACGCACAAAGACAAACTTAAAAAACTACAGTATTTCAAAACATGTGAAACATGTAAATGCTTTACATTGGACAGAAGAAGTAGTGGAGCGGTACTTCACCCAAAGAACACCACCTCCCAAAGTAAAACAAGGGAGTTTGAACATTACTGGTGCGGTATAAGAGAAGTACGATGAGTGATGACGTCTCTTTTTGTCTTTTATCTCTTTTTTTTATGTTACTCGTCTTTTGGTGTCAGTTAAATCATCAGCTGTGACAGTTACAAAAATAACATCCTGTGGCCCACTTTCTAGAAGCCCACTGGGGAGAAACAACACACTTGGTGACCTTGACCTCAAGGACAGGAGAGTCAAATCAAAGTAACGCTGATCTGGAGAGCTGGGAGTTCAGTTTCACTCAGACTTTTAGACACGTGTTCTAAAATACCTTTTTGATTATTAATTTAAATATTTGGGTTCTCAGTATAAATCAATCATTATTTGATAAGCCAGACTTCATTTTTATTTAGTTAGGGACAAATGTATTTCAGTTGCAGACGTTAGCAGCAGCTCACCTGGTATCTGTTATTCTCTGCTGAAGGAAAGCCCAGGTATCTCTCTGAAAAGGCTGACGCTGAAACAGAAATAGAAAAACAACATTTATATCGAGGGGAATAAGAAAATAAATTATATATAAAAAAGAACTCTTTCTTTTCATTTTGGTACGAGTACACAAAAGTTCAACATTCAACAGTACGTGCCGTAGGTTTTAACGAATGAAATCCTGAATCTATTCTGCTTTTGAACCAGAACAGAAGGATTTCCACAGACATTTTCAGAGTCTATTAAATTCTCATCTCACTCTGCAGATGCTCCTCATCTACAGCATCGCTGCAACATTGCTGCCAGAAATTAGGGCTTTTCATCCTTAACTTCAAATAGCCCAAATTCCCACGAGCAGAACCCTAGGATAATTAAAGTCACGGTGTCCAGACCAGACATGATGGACACGGTGCGGCGGAGACTGCAGCAACAGAAGTCATCAATATTTTTAATGAAGACGACGTGCTTTTATTTTAAACTTACCGTACATGGACCAGTCAACGATAGGGGTCTGAGCGGCGGCGCACCTGATCAGCCGCTCTGTTGACTTCAGCATCATCAGTGTCAGGAAGCCACCATAGTCCTGACAGGGACACAAAGAAACTATTTTCATTTTGCTTTTAAAAGTCTGCTCATTGAACAACACAGACGCCTCAATCCTGAGTGCATTTCCATTTCCTTTTTATGTCTGAATTCATACAGCTTTTTGGACAACTTGTTATAATCTTTGTTGTTGCCTTTGCCACTGTTCTGTGTGTCACACTATACCATTCTCCCAGCTCCATAAAACCTTTGACTAGTTTGGATTATAGAATAAGTGTTATGTTGCTTTATAATAGAGATGTTTCACTTCCTATTACAGTTATTTCAAAAACAAGACCAACAAACCACTGCGACGGTAACTAGTCATCAGCTTGGGTAATCATTTTTACATTGACCTGCTGTTTTTTCCCCGCTCTGACTTGTTTATCTTCCTTTTGACAAATAAGCTCTCGATAATTCCTGGAAATGGAGAGACTGCACTCATTTGAAAGATCCATGTATTTGTGTTGATGCCTTTATTTACTGAATAAAATAACTCCCAGATATGTGTGTTGGTTTAAATAGACTATTTCTGTGAGTGTAATGAGACTGGGATGTGGGACGCTTCTCTATTTATTTATTAAACGGACAAGCGAAATCTGGCTGCAAATGAAATGACTGAGGATTCATGTTAAAACTAATCACTACATTCAGTAAACAGATTTTTTTTTTCTTCCTGATGATGTCTGCACATCATTTCCAGCTTCATTATTTTTTATAAAACGGGTGAGAAAAAAGTCCTTACAATCAGATCCTATTATAGGAATCCTGCTAATAATTGGTTTTGGAAATGGAAAATCTTTCTCATCATTTTCATGCAGCGCTGTTTGTCTGAGTACACTGTCTCAAATACAGACCTTTCCATAGACGCCAACGCGAGTGTGATCGATAAATGGCAGCTTCAACAGGTATCTGGAGAACACAGGCAGGGACAAACAGTTTAACTGCGTTAGAAATTCAAGGGCAAGACGATTTAATTCACAGAAAGAAAAGTCTCCCCTGGATGAAGCAAATCATTGATTTGTTTTTCCTCAGAAGTAAATTTAGGGCTTGTCCTCAGATTCTCAGAAATCAGGTTGAAGGAATACATCATGCCCTCAGGGTCTACGAACAGAGTGTTACGTACTCAAGAGCTGCTATTTGGTCGTCTGTGTCGACCGTGCCGAGCCTCTGATGGATCTGCTCTAATACCCTGTAAGATGTGAGGAAGATTAGTTTAGCTTTCGCAGAGTCGCTGCATTGTTGTGACAGTTAAAGGAAAACGTTTGACACCTTTGTCCTCTTAATCCTGACCCTCTGCCGTCAACCCTCGCCACGATGACCTGATCAGCTCCGACAAGCACTGAGTCCCAGTCCAAAAAGAACTCCTCCGTCACCGTCTGGTCTCCTGGTGAACTGTCACTTTAAGAGGAGACAACGATAGATTACAATCTCAATGCCACACCAGAAAAAAACAATACAAAACACATACAGAAGCATCGGTCTCAAACACCCGGCCCGCAGACCACTTTCAGCCCAGGGACTGGCCACATGTGGCCAGCATCTACATGTCAATGTAATGTAACGTGAGTCCGTGGCTGTTAGATTCCCTCAGCTCAGCTCATACTGTTCAGTCTGTATGTGGTGGTATTTATACACACATGCAGCCAGAGAGAAACAAACCTGGTGTGAAAATCAATTGTTAGCACCCCCAGTGGCCAGACCTGTGGACTCACAGACATCTGTTAGAAACGCCCATAAAAGGCAGGGCGGTGGCAGCCATGTCACAGTGAATCCAGGCGCTGTTTGTGTTGTTGCAGGTCGGTGGCTAAAAACGTTTGTTTGTTAACGGTTTGTTAAAGCAAAGTGAGATTAACCATGTCAGAAACAAATTCTGAACTTTTTTTTTGTTTTAACCGTGGCTGCAGTTGTGTGACACAAGTCTTGTGATCAAGGATTAAGATAATTGAATTGATTTAATCTGTAATTTTAAGTCACACTATCTAACACCGAAGCACACCACGCGCGCACACACACACACAAGAATTCCTGCCCTCGTGTTTTTTAGCTTTTCATGTCCCGTTTACTATAATTCAATGTAAAAGAAAACGTGTTTTTGCTGTGTTCGCAGCTGCTCAAATGCAAATGAGGTCAAATCTCTGGGCAGGGCATAAATGAAGCAAATGTAAATGTAATCACAGCAGAAAGAAGCTTACACAATAAGGAGAAGGCCGTAGAGGAAGGACTCAGAGAAGTCGGGAGGAAGGATGAGCTTCAAAGGAAGCTCTGTGAAAGAAATAAAGAAGAGAGAGACACGAGAGGCAGAAAAATTAGTGGGAGGAGAGGAACCTGACAAAGAGAGACTGAGGGGGAGAGAGGAGGGGAGAGGGGGAGGGTGGTGTTTCAGAGATAAGTCACTCATGCTTCAACTGTACCATTGTTGTCATTAGTGATCGTCCTGATTTCACTGTGAGTCCTCCTCTTGGTCTGCAGCGCTGCCAGCAGAGGCAGGTTTTCGTCCAAAATGAAATATGCTGTGAAGTGAAACACATTTGTTAGTTTAAACCAAACATCAGAGCCTGAACTAAGAACAGCAGTTTTTAATGGTTGGTGAGAAAACATTAGCAGCAGAATGTTTTTGTTTTTTTTTAAACAAGCAAGAATTTGACTAAAATAAACCAGAGAAACATGAAATTCTTTCATAAAGTCATCTCAAATGGAACCCTGAAATAAATGATTATGTATTCATCTGCTGTAATTCAGCCCCTTGATGCAGTTGTCCTTTTTTGGTCTTCTACAGGTCTACAATGGTGACTCATCCATCGCCAAAACAGCCTTTCTATTTTTATATTTCTAGTAGTTTTGGCAAAAATGTTTTGGTTTTTTTCCCTTTGCAATAATGATTCAAATTAAGTTTTATCTGGTTTAGCTGCACATTTTCAACAGTGTGAAGCCCCACAGATGTGTGATTAACCATACTGCCGAACTGAGACCAAATGATAGCCGTGTTATAGAATCTTTGTTTATAGCACCCCCTGTAGGAAAGGGATTTATAAGTACTGTTAGGATCTTGAAATGTGTCCTTCTACGTGAGAGATTTTGCTAAAAAGTCTACACTTCTCGTCCATGTGGACTAAAACAAGCTACAATTCATATGCTATTTTCCATAAATGTAGTGCAATTCAGCAGAATAACGTTTTGTTTCATCCCAGTGGCCAATGGAAAGATTTCCTCTTATATATTGTTATATCTGCTGAGACAGTTTCAAGAGTGAGCTGATGCAGAAAGAAGAAAACAAAAAAACCCAACACCAATAGTTTAAATACATTATTCAACATTTCATCCACCAGAGGCACAGGTGAAAAAAAACAACCAGGGAGGTTTTGTTATAAAAACACTGACTGATCCAGACCACTAGGTGAAAAAACCTACACAAGAGCCACGGGCAGATTTGTGGTCATTTAATGTGAGGGACGATCATCCACGAAGTGAAACACACCACATACAGTGTCATGTCTGACTCCGTGTCACCTCCGGCAGCTGCACACGTTGTTGTTAAAACATTTCATTTTAGCACAGATGTGAGGGAAAGCTCATCCATCCAAACAACGATGGCATCAACACTCTGTGTTTTCGCTCAGTGAATGTAATTAAAACTACTCACATTCCACATCATCAAGACTTAAGAGCAGCACAGCTGGAACTCCAGGACCTGCAGAGATAATGTTTCTTTATAAACCCAGTTTTCATTTCTGACACTTTATGAGAACAATGCGAGTTGATGACAAATGTGTCTGTGCACAGGCTAAACAGATTGAAAGCTTAAGGTTTTAACTGTGAAATATTTCTCCTGTCACTGGTGTCATATTTAAAGCAAAAGCAGCAAATGAAACAGCAAAGGCAATAGGTCACATAAATACTTTGCTTTCTAGATTCCGAACCTAAACGGATTTTTATTCTTCTTTTCAATTTTACCCTTATCCTCTTTTATAGTTTATGGAACCGCGCATTGAAATATATCGAATTTGAAAAGTAATTGGACAGCCAAAGCGTAAAAAAAAAAAAAGTCAGCAGCTTCTGTGGATATTTGTCCTTGAAGCCATAAATAGTGAGTTATAAAATCAAGGTTCAGGCAATTTTCTTTCAAAAGTGACAAAGCAAGAATATCATTATTTAGAAAATAAACACTGTGTCCTATAAACCACTAAAAATCTTATCAGGTTACTTCCTGTCGCACAAATACAAATCAGACTTGAAGTTCTAGAAAATACAATTGTTTAGTTTTTTTCCACTGGAGGTTTACTTAATGTTTGGAACCAGTTTCAGACTGTAATTATAAAAGTCGTTTAATCTATCACTTTCTTAGCATTAGCTGCCATAGTTAGTGTTCAAAATGCCACAAATATTGTGCTTTTTTAAAGCAACTTCATTGTGAATTAGAAAAAAACAAGGCTCATTTTAGAACTTGAATTAAATGACCGCCTTCAACAGTCCTACGTGTATTTAACGTCATTTTTAACAGTTGCTGAGCGCCGCAGCACACATGAGTCACAAACATGGCCTGGAATACATATAAGACACACATAAATGTATGTAAGCATATAAATATATTTTATAAATTGTACTTCTATATAATTTTACACAATATTTAATAAAACTGTGGTGGTGACCACATATAATTGGCCACTCACCAACTGTGGTCCACGGGTCTCCTATTGCCAACCACTAATTTAAAGAACTGATGGACAAGACTGATGGGCCTTTAACATCAAAAGTCTTATTAGTGTGACCTGTTTTGATGTTAGCGTCACCTAGAGTAGTTTCTCTGAATCACTTTAATAAATATTTTGGACAATTGTTCTGTATTTCATGTGAGAAAAGAGGTCATGAGAGTAGAGTGTTTCCCTCTAATTTGTGTCATTACATGCATTTATTTTAGAATCACAACTCTTTATGGAATTATTTATTTATGTTTAAGAATGAAGTACAAAGCAGTACTAATCATATTTATAATAATAATTATAAACTGTGTTCACATCTGATCTCATTTCCAGCGAGCCGAGTGGCTTGAACGAGTGCTCCCTAATAAAGGGGCCGTCTGGCGTATTTCAGGCTGTCAGGTGAAATATTAAGTTAAAACATGGAGCACATTACTGTCAACAACAGGAGAAAGCACTGATTTAACCTTTTCACAGAATCTCTTTGTTTTTTTTACTGAGTGGATTTGTATCTGAAGGGATTTCTCGCCCACTCTCTCTGACCTTTACAGCGCAGTATGGCATGCTGCGCATCGGGATGGACGTCCGCATCAAAGAAGGTACAATCCTCTCTCAGTCCACAAGTGAGACACCTCCGCGGAAACAGGCCGAGAGTAGACACACTGACAAGAAGGAAGCAAGGAAGTACAAAAGTTCTCACTCAAAGAAGTGAAAAATATGACGTTAATGCAAGAAAAAAAAAACATATCGTCTTTGTTGTACCTGAATAAATGTCTCTGTTGTGCAGATTCCTCTGTGCTCAGAAAGTAACTGTGGAAAGAGGCAGAGAGGCTGAGGTAGGACAAGGTTATAGATCCATTGTACAGCATATCGGCCTTCATTGCATAAAGATGTCAATGTCAAAACAAACCCTTGGGCTCATACAGTGGTAGAACCTCACACCTCATTTAGTCATGAGCAAATAATTAGTTACTGTTGAATGGAAATGAGGTATTTAACATTCTTAGATGTGTGGGCTGGTGAAAATAAAATAAAAGTTTAAGTTTAAAAAAGGCCAGGTCAAAACATCTAGAACCTTCTGAAGGAGGTAGAATGGCTAGAGATATTAAAAGGAAACTAAATCCAAGTCTGTGATGAGCTTCAAGTAATTTGATGAAAAACTGAACTGAAAAAAAATGGTTGCAGTTTTTAAAGTCGTTGCTGAATGAAAGACTTGAGCCGCTTAACAGTCACTGGTCAATATCACACAAATATATTATATATGTTATAATATTGCATATGTATAAATAAAACTGAAATGTGTTTCTGAAAGTGACAAAACTTTTTTTTTTAATGTTGGGTACTTTACACTGGAGAGATAACTTGGACTTACACAATCTGGTTGTCCTCGTCGTAAGCTAAAATTCTTGTCACTTCCCAGTTTCCTGACGTGAGGTGACGCACTTCGTTCTGGTTGCTCCGTGACTGAAAGAACAAGATCAAATATGCCAACAATCCTGCTGAGGAGTACTTCAGCAGCGACAGACTCAGACTCAGTCACATGAAGTCACAGGCGTGCGATGAGAGTCACCTTCTTGGTGAACATGGTGATGTGGTTGAAGTCTCCCTGACCTCCTTGTTTCACAGGCAGAGCGAGGAAAAACCTGCTCCCGTCTTTAGAGAACAGCGGCTCCTGACTCTACGTACAGACACACTGGATGTTAGCGGTGACGCACTTTATGTACAACGGAGTCTCCATCGATCTGTGCCTGACTCAATAATGAAACATACGTTTTCTGTAAAAAACAGCACAGCATATCAGAGTTTGGTTTGTCTCAGATTTACCTGTCTGGAAAGCCAAGTCTCTGAGGACTCCTCGTGTTTCTGAATAGAGAGGGAGGAGAGTAAAATCTAGTCGTTATTATGGAAACGGCTCTCTGTAGGTTGTTCTTGTAAATCGGTTCAGTAAAGCGATGTTAACTGCGGTGCAGAAAATACATAATATCCATTGTCTGGACTCTCGGGCCAAATAATCACTACAGTTTCAGATTAGGCCAGGTTTATTACAACTAAATGAATGTTCTTTGAACAGAGTCTGATGTGTTTAAAAAGTAATGTAATTTAGTGTTGGGGCTTTCAAACCAAAAACACCTGTCGCCCATGTCTTTGTTCAGTTACAGGAGTACTAAAATACGTCTTCACTTTCTTTATCACCCTAACCTGCTGCACATTCTATGCAGCTCAAGTTTGCTATGTAGAAACAATTGCAAACACTTTTTCCACCAGTACTTCTTCCTGTATGTGCTTATATACTTCTATCACTCATATTTCATCTACCGTTGATTGTGACTTTTCATACACAGACATTTACTGGGACTCCGGACATCAACAACTGGAACATTATGTCCACACTAAGAACAAGACAAATCTTAAAAACCATCGCTGAGGAACCAGGTTTTCTGTGTCGAAATGACATAAACTCAACGGTATGACTTTGATTATTTACAGTATTCTTTCTGCTCTGAGAGAAAATATTTTCTAGTCACAGACACCTACTTGAGGACAGACTCCTAAGGTGGAGTCACAGACTGTCAGTAGTGAAACGTTTTGGAGTCTGTTGACCCAACGCACTGCCAGGTGAGTATTACTGATCCATTTTACCATGGTCACATAGAAATCTCTGCAGAAGGGAAAAAACATAAATAGAGTTACTGATGTGTTTTTGGGGCCATTTCCCCAAATATAATCCATATCAAGGTCTTAGTTGGGATATACAGTACAGTACCTCTGGTCTGGCTGTACCACGGAATATGTATGTGTGTGTGTGTGTTTCACCTGTTTCTGAACTGATCAGGAGGCTGCAGCTCCTGAGTGTGTGTAGCTCCAATCAGGTTGACCACCGACAACTTGACCACGGGGTTCTTCTGACCGGCCTAAAGTATCCAAACAAACAATAAGACATACACTTAAAACCGGGTGTTTAACCGAGTGCAGTTCTACATGTACTTTCTATGGTTTATGGATTGTTTTGATAGAACATTTCACTGGTGTTTTTTTTTAATTAACATTTATTTATCCCTTTTCTATTATGAGAACCTCATTATGTCTTTCGTCTAAACCCAGTTCCACCATGATGGAAATGTATACAGATACGTATAAGTCAGATTTTTATGATACCCAATATACAAAGGAAATTATTGGCAGATACTTCCATCTATCCATCATTTCTGCTGATCCAAAGTTCCAATATACATCTACACTGGAACATTAGTTCATAAGAAACATTAACTTCCCTTTTTCTTGGCCGCAGTTGTGTACAAACATGTATCTAATATTTTCATGGACACAGCAGGGATGTGAGGGTGGCATTGTAAAAATTAAAAAAACAAAAAATAAACAAAAACTGAATTACTATTTACCATTACTATTTTACCATAGAATGATTTCGTCCAATGATCTGTGCTATAGGTGGCGCTTTGGCCTAGAGGCAATGTCTCTGTCATTGGTGTGGAACCCCAGGGTTCACCTCCTGGGCAAGATTGAATCAAGGTTAGGGCGGTTGGTACCTTCCAGTGGACTCACCACCAGCAGGAAGGTTCAGGGGGGTTGGTATGGGGCAGTGTGATTTGGGTGGAGACTGCTGCCCCCGTGACCCGGTAACGGATAAGCGGATGAAAATGGATGGATGGATGGATCTGTGCTATATATTTGTTTTTTTATGATTTAAATCAAATGTTTGAGACAATCAGATGCCGTTGCTACTCTTCTTCTGTGCAGCGACTGTTGTTGCCAAGATATGATGAGATGTGAAACACCTCCAGTAATCAAAGTGAATGTTACTGGATGGGAGAAAAACACTGTTTTTGGTGTTCTTTTTTTTTTCTGGAGAAGTCAGTGCCTCACCAGCTGTGAAGCTCACTGCACATCACTGCACATCATATACACAGAGTCACCTCATTTATAGACTAAAGTTGGAAAAACATTCTTTTAGTGTTTGTTTTGAGGACACTAAAATATAATTCTGATAAATCTTTAGCAATAAATAGTAAAAACAAAAAAGTCATTTATTTTCATGTGGCATCTGTGCTAGTCTTTTTGTCCTTATCTATTCTAATCCAGCAGGTGCAGCAGCTGAACCTCACCATAGGATATGGGTAGTGAAGTCCTCGAGGGTAGGTGCTGCCAGTGAACTGTGGCAGAGCCATGCTGGGCACCTGAGTGTCGTTGATAGTGAGGAAAGCCAATCGCTCTCCGTCCGGCGACCACCAGTGAGCCAAGTGTGACTGCAGAACCTCCTCTGCTCAGAAAACAGAGAAAGTAGATTTTCAGTCTCACTGAACCGGAGATAATGTGGGCGACAGCCGGAAAACAGGGACGTCAGCGTCTCTTTTAAAGATGTAATTGCACTTCATTTACTTTTGTTATTTGTGTTGATTTTCGGGACCTCTATTTTGCTCATTTGCTTTTTTCTTTCACAAATTCACTGAGGTTTTAAACTAGGACCTATAATAGGGTGTCACTTCGTACCCCTCCCCCCCATTCGCTGCCAACAGTAAATGCAGATAAAAAACAAAAAGGGGGAAAAAAAGCTCACTACGAATCTAAAAGCTGAAATTATTCTCATTTATTTCTCCTCTGCCTCAGTCCGTGATTATGAGGTGTTCTTTGTGTAAACTGCACACAGAGCAACATGCTGTGGTTGTGTTTGTTTACGCAGTGACTTAATGGATCGTAGGGGCTTCCTGTGGTTTTTTCCCTCCATTTCCACTCATTTCCCCATGTTTTTTTACTCTCCCTGCTGCATGTTTGAATGTCTAAAACAAAGATCTTAAGTAGATAAAGAGGGAGCGCCACTTTGGTTTTTAAACGTTTCTTTGACCAGAGATCACGCTGTTTGACGTTTTCTTTCTGCTTTTATTTTCAAAGATTAGAATAATCATAAACCAACGGATAAAAAAAAAAGGAAAAGGAATTCTGAGGTCTGTCTGTCTCCCTCCCCCACAACCAGCTGTGCAATCAGTGTCATCACAGTCACCTGTGTCTCTGTCATCAGTCTCACTGGTGTCACCTGGTGGCCTGGGTATATATACCTCTGTCCCTCACTCAGTCCTTGGGGGTTCATTGGTCTGTGATAATGCTATGTGTTTTGTGTGTGTGTCATGTCAAAACCTTGTGCTTTTGTTTTGTGCTCATGTCATGTCATGTGTTTGTGCCTGGTGAGGTATCACAAGTTGCTGTATTTAGGTTTTGGACTGTTAAAATCAACTTCGTGCACCTGATCTTCACCTCTCTAGTGCTGCGTTTGAGTCCTGCCTGTGTCCCTGTTCTGTTTAACCTTTACTGATCAGCGCCAAACATGAACCGATCACAGAGAACCAAAGTGTGCCGAAAATAGGTGTGCAAAACCATGCATCTGCCACACTATCAGATTTGTACTGTTTTTTTTTTTTTTACCAACAGCCTTTGCTCTGTTTGCTTATCATAAAAGGAATTTGAAAAGTGCTTATGTAAAAATAAGAGTGATTACACACTCACTCCTGAAGAATAGCAGAACTGGTAAAAAGCTCTGAGCTGTACAAAAAGAGCTCTTGCCTAAAGTTTTCCTTTTAAACCACGACTGGCTACAAATGCTAATGAAAAATAATTGTTTTCAGGGCCATTTAAAGAATACAGGCTGAGGACTATAACGTTGTAAAAAGAGTAAGGGCCACAGGCAGAAATGACTGCTGAATGTGCAAAGCTGCAGTGACAAACATGGCCACATGGGCTCAGAACTACGACAGCAGTTTAACAGCGCTCAAAAATACATAAAAAATACTGTGATAGGAAATGAAATCCTCCAAAGACTTTGTCAAGTCTGGGCATGAACTAATTAGTGATGGAAAATCAGAGAATATCTGTTTCATTTAGGAGAAATGAGCTAAATTATTGCAACAATCACTGTACTAATTTACCTGATGCAGAAAATCCTGTAAAAATTCTTAAAAGTGTATTATGAGAAGACAGATCAGATTAGATGAGGTTATGCATTGAAGCACTATGAAAAAGTGAATGTATAGTAAAAGACCAAAAACCATGGACCCTCTTTACTCAGGTCACATCACACTTCAGTCTTGTGTGTCAGGCTAACCTTCGTAGAGCCAGTCAGTCAGGCCGTTGAAGATGACTCCATCAATCCCAGAGGAGGTGATTCTCAGGGAAACGCTCCTCACATCGGACTGGTAGTAGATATTGTTCTCAAAGATGTAAATCTGAGGAGGGCATTCAGGTTGTTTTGCATATCATCTGTTTTTATCTCAGCATAAAGCTAATAGAATCTCTGCACTTTGCTTAGAGCATGCTAATAAACAGAGGAGGAGGAGAAGTGTGATAGATCACGACTTTCAGTCTCACCAGCTGCTGTCCTTGTCTTCCCCATGCTGCGTGCTGAAGGACCGCATTCTGAACCTCCGGGGGGTTCAGCTCCCAGACTTCCCTGAAAAACAAACAGAGTGGTTCACCTAAGTCTTTAACCATCCTTGTGTTTCCAGTTTGTATCCAGAAAAAGATGACAAAATATATATTGTTTTAGTATAACTTGTAAAAAAAAACCTCAACATACAGAGATAATCTAATAATTCTACAGGCATGGCGATCAAGGTTTTATTAATTTTGAACATGGGCTACAATGCAGCCAAGGGTTTCCAACAGTCATGAATGTATTTTTCACCTGGCCTGACACAGTCAGTCTGGTCTTTGTGTGCATTTACATATTTAATTTCTTCTTTTTGTTTTACCCTCTCAGAGGAATTATTTTTGGCAGCAACCATGTGATTCTAATCATGTCTAAAAAATGTTATTGATAAAGTGATGGTCAAAAGAACTGCTCTGATCCAGTGTTGATGCTGTTTATCAGATGAAGGCCTTTTTAATTTGTCCCATAATTTTCTACTCCTCACTTTTCCTTTTACTTAATTTGTCTTAAAATAACCTCTGCTTCTTCCCATTTCCTTTATGTATCTGTACAGTAACTTCATTATGGTTTAAGGAGGTTGATAAGACATTATCTGTGGTTTAAATATAACAGTGAGTTATCACTCACAGGTAGAAGGCCAATAATACTATTCAGTTTTTTTATATTTGTGTATTTCAGTGACACCGTGTCAGAAAAATTGTCACCAGTGTGTGGACAGTAAACTCACCATGAGAAAAGAAAATCACTGCATGCACACAGTGAAAAAAAACAGACTGAAAATGACAAGTTTATCCAGTTCATTTTGACTTAACCGTAAAGAAAACAAGAGAAGTGCTTAGGCACAAAACTAAGCATTAAATAAAATCACAACCAACGTCTATTTTTGTAAAAACAAACACAGACACAGCATTGCTGCATTTAAAAACAGGAAAGATGGATCAGGGAGTTGAGGAAAAAAAAATTGCTTACCTCGTGTAGATGTTGTAAACAATGTAAGACGCTGTATATGAATATCTGTACATCTGAAAAGAGAGTTCACGCCATCAGGCAACGCAAACAAGAGATCCTTGTCTGTTAAACGTTCGGAGCGATGACAGCGAGAGGGAACAAGGTCAATGAATAAATAATGAGGACAAGGAATGAAAGAAAACAAGCTTTTCTTAACACAACAGAGAGCAAACTGAAAAAGCTGAGGTCAGCTGATTTCTCTTTTACTGACAGATCACATCTGTGTGTAGACCTGCACCAGACAGTACACTGGCCTACAATACTCCTTCACAAATACTGATTCACATTTGAATGACTTTGTGGTTTAATAGTGTAGTAGAAGATCCTGAGTTCAAGCACCAGAGGAACTTAATAGCGCCTCCTGTGGGAGCCTGTGTGGGTTGAAAAGACGCACACTGAATTCATTCAATTAAAGGGACTTTTCTATTTGTAATTAACGGTGGGAATTAGACTAATGTTCTGATACTATATGCAAACACTTTTACAACATACATTTACATTTACAACATTTAACACTTCATTGTTGGTTTATGTGCGGGATGACGGATAATATCTGCGGACCAATATTATCGGCCCGATATTAGCATAATTATGTAATATCTGTAAGAACCATTATCGGTTTTGAAAACCCAGTAACGAAATGCCTGGTTTTCACCAAATGACGTGGGCCCTAAAATGGCTTTGGGGATAAACAGCTGTATATTAAAGTGAAAGACACTAGATGGCAGCATTGCAGCTCATTTAATTGATCTATTTTAATAATCGGGGGATTGTATGTAGAATGCTGGTGTACAGATAAATATAACCAAGACTGTAATATTACTGATCATTATCGGTTGATATCGGAACCGAAAATGTATATCAGCATATCAGATATTGGAATAAAGTTCGGAGATCGGACATCCCTAGTTTACGTACTAAAACCAATATTAGTAGGAAAAAGGACAAAGTTTGTCTCAGAAAGAAACTTTCATAGAAATTCTGGTAGACGGCAGAAATATACAGGGCTCAAAGGTCAAAGGCATTTGGCAGCAGAATTCATTCATTCATTAAGCACAGAGATTTCTCTTGGAAGCTGAAATTCTTCAATATTTTGGGCTAATCTGACAGAAATCTTTTGCAAAGTTCAACACAATCCTTGTTTACAAAGCCTGGGGCCTTGGTTGACCCTCCTCGTTTTGCACATCATTTTGATCCTCAAAGATGTTACCAGCCACAGTAACCTGTGCTGTTAGTAAGGATCTGACCCCAGCTCCTCCACTCACTTTGGAAAACAAAAACCAACACTGCTAATTTTAACTGAGGGCACAAAAAAGCATCAGTAAAAGCATTTAAAGTTTTCATTGATGCTAACAGAAATATGTTTTTAAGTGCAAGCTTATATTAAGTGGGCAGACTCTTCACACTGACTGATTTCTCTGTCTTTAAGCACAGTGTGCAGCACAGCACTCTGCACAGCTAATTTCCCTTTCAGCCAAATTCAACTGAGAGCTGCTGAAAAAAATAAAATAAAATAAACCCCAGTGTTTACAGGTTGTTTTTCTACTCTGCTCCTTTGTTCCATATACAGATAATGTGGCTCTTTTGCAGCTCTCTCCCTGCTTTCTTGTACTCCCAAATCTTTCTGTATCAAACATGCAGTCCGTCCCGCTGAGAGGATCTTTAAACCAAGAGGTGTCTCTGACCTGACAATCACCACAGGAATAAATTCTGCTCGGGAACATAGACAATATCCTCCCTTGGCTTTTCAGCTGCTGCACTGTCTCTAACCCTGAGCCTGGATCCGTCTGTTTGCAGACAAATCTAAAAATCGATAGGGAGAAAAAGAAGCCTTTACTTCGAGGCCTTCTGGCAGATGAGTGAAAAACACATTAGGGCTAAGAATATAGACACACAACACTCGTAAATTTACTCAAGTTGAGGTCAGCGAATGTCTGCTCGCATCGGTTCTCTCCATTGTCTATCATCCACATCCATCTGCTGCTTCTTAATGAGCCTTATTATCCATATTAAAGTAAATTTAAGAATAACAGTAAGAAAACACAACAAGAAAAGGCAAAGTATATGAATGAAGTCGAGCAGAAACTGCACACCTGAAGCACACCGCTAATGCCTTTGTCTATTTATGTGCATGCAGATGAGTGACATTCTCTCGGGCATTTCACAGGAGAACAATGAAAATGACAAACTGCCAGGGAGAAAAAACAAAAGGGAGCAGCAGAGAACAGCTGGTGATGCCGCTTCAGTCACAGCTCCTCCGTCAGTCAGTCAGTCAGGAGCTGTGACTGAGCTGCAGAGGCGGATGATTTTGGTGTGATACTGATTCATTATGCAGTTTTGGAAGTGGCATTTTCCTCCAAGCTCACCTGCTTGACATCGTAAGCGAAGAGTGCGTACTTCAGATCGGCTGACAGCGAGTACTTGACCACCTTAAAAGCTTGCTATCAAATCAAAAAGAAGATGAGACATAGCAGGTGTTAAGAAAGCCTAAAAATACATGAAACCAAACAGTGATGTGGGCGTTTGTTTGTTTGTTTGTTTAAGGCTGCTTCAGTGACAAAAGACCAAAGAAATTAAAAGAACATTTTGTTTAAAACATGAGGGACGTAACAGAGTCAAACTCTGAGGTCATATTTTCATTTCTCCTTCTCTGAGGTTCTCATCACAAACTATAAAAAAGAAGCAGAAAGCAAAAACTAATAACACTCCAAAAGGCCAGAACACCACAAGGGAACTGCAGCACTTTCTCATACCGTTAACAGAGCAGAGTGTTGGTAGATCTATCCATACAAAGCAGTAAAATACACATACCTGCCACTTTATTAGAGACACCTAGCTCGAATGAGGCTGTATTTATATATTGGCTACATTTTTCTGAACAGTTTCCCTCAACTGCTTCTTCATAGCTCACAAAGGTGGTACACAGTGTGGTCCTCTGCTGATCCAGTCTGGACATTCTGTTTTGACTTTTGGCTATAACAAGAACTGAAGCTCAATTTTGCTCTATAAAGCCTTAAATGGTTGTAAAGAGAACTTGAAATGCTCCGACCAATCAGAAGCTGAGTTAGCATGAAGAGAAAACATTGGTAACCTAGAATCTCTTTAAGCACATGCAGCCAAAACAGCATGACTCGCTATATTAGCATACATCAACATCGCTAAAGTGACCTTTGTTCCACATTACGATACTTCTAACTAAATGGTTTCTTTTGATGGAAACAGATGTAGCCAATAAAGTGACTGACAAAAGCTCACAGTCAGTGTTACCAGTTTGCCTGTTATTCCAAGCCAGGCATGGGCAAACTACGGCCCGGGGGCTGGATGTAGCCCGTTTGACTTTTTAATCTGGCCCGTCAAAGTTGTCCAAATAATGTTATTCATCTGCCTTTCCCCTGCAATGTCTGCATTTCCCCAATAGATGGCATAGAAAAGGCTAAAAGCATTTTATTGACTGACTTTTATAGGTCATTTGTTTTAGTTCACGCAAACGCTCCATCTTTCTGCCCCCCGTCAAATTTTAGGAAACAAGTCAAAAAGTTTGCCCACGCCCAAATATGATTGGCTGCTTTATGGCATCATCAGTGGTTGTTGCCTGAATGTCCATGTTAAAAAAATGTAGAATTTAAAAAAAAAACTATGCAAGAAATATATAGTGACAAGATGCTATGAAACATATCACGTTTCATAACTAGTCAGACATTGGACCAATATAGTTTAGCCGGTGAACAGCAGCAACAAAGGGAATTTCTAATCCAACAAAACATTAAAAAGTGACCTTACGGACACATCAGAGTCAAGTCAGGGTTTAACCAAAGGAATGCTGAGACGTTAGTACTGTGGGTAGAGTGTGGATGGTGTGTGGAAACCAGCAACCTTCTTTTAATGGAGTTCACAGAAAAAAACAGTATTGGCTTCTAAATATATTTAACAGATTCAACAATGAAGCAACTCTGAGTATCACAACTGCAGAATTCAGGCAGTAAATATCAAGAGGCAGAAATAAAGGTTTATATTTGTCACAGTGCAGAGCTGTTCATTAAACAGTGAATTGCAAACAGGAAGTAAAAGATTGTATTGGAAAGGAACTAAATTGGCCCTGCATTCTGCATCTGCAGTTTGATTTTGGTACAACAATAATTAAATTACCAGTACGGACATAACTTATTTTTTCTCCCAGGATGTGTTAGAAAGAGTAGATGTGTTTGACATTTAGAGGCCGAGTCATGTGGGGAGCAGTTAAACCACATGCAGCCGTTCACAGATTTGATTGCACGCCTCACAGAGAAAAAAAACACTCTGAACTTATTTTTAATGAAAAAGCCCAAAATTCTACACAAGGCATGAAAAGGTGATTTTGTCGACCTCAGATCCTGCACCACAAACAAAGTGGAGACAGATGATAACAAATCAACCGGGTTTTTTTTTTTTTTTTTCTTGCAGTGATCTTTCTTTTTTGACATGACTTTGGAGCAATCTTCTATATTAACTACGGAAGATTTTGCCTTATTTTTATGTTGTTTAAGTATGATCAGCATTTTTAAAATCACTGGGAAATAATTGTAACATTATATCATGTTTGTTTGTCCAGAAGAACATTAGTTCAATTCTATGTACCGTTGCCTTGGCACATGATACATGAAGTGAGTCCTCAAATGCAACTTTTTAAAAATGTTTTTTTTAATTATGAAAGTCTAATGTAGGTTTTCTTGACCGAATTTTGTTTTGTCACCCTTGATGGAACATTCTGGTCGATGGGGGCCAGACAACTTGGACACTGGAGGCATCACTGGCAAAAGGTACTTTGACTAATGAACCCCACAAAACAGTACTGACAGAAAAACAGAACTGGTTCGTCTTTGAAGTGATGGTTGAAATCCTTTCATCGGATTCGTTTCTTTTTCTTTTAAAAACAATTGAAGAACATATTTATATTTAAAATTAGTACAGCAAAACCCTGTTTGAACATTTCAGATGTTATAATAAGGAAAGACATATATATATATATATATATATAAAAGGACTAAGCAACACTTACAAATGTGCTGTTGCTCAGAAGGACGTCTGTCTCATTCAGCATGAAGTTGAACTTGATGACATGACCCTGTTGGTTTCTGTACACCACCTCCACGTCTAATAGGGAGAAGGAGAGAATATTTTAAAAAACAGCCAGAAGCGCCGGTAAAAATCGCAGTAATCCACATAAAGATAAGATGGGGAGCATGACCTCGCCCTGTGAAAGCAAAGGTCATGTTCCTGTGGCAATGAACATTTTCTGGAAAGAAAACAGACATGAAACATAAGGTTGACAACATTTCTCTGGAGGCTTGAATACCTTTCTAACAAAACTGCTGTAATGTTGTTTTTTATCCTTACAGGACCCAGACAGTACCTTTATACCTGGAATTGATGTGTGTGTGTAAATGTAAATGTATATATTAAATATATATATATATATATATATAGTCGGTGTAATTTCATTCATGTGCTGGATTTGGGATTATTATTTTTCAATATAAGCTGTTCTGCATGCTCCGTTGCATGTTCTGGGAGAAATTGTCTTTTCTATGTTGTTTTGTGTCTACTCTACAAAGTATTATAATGACTAATACACGAGTCCTTTATTCACTCGTATTTGTCGTACTCTCATAGTGGTAGCTTTTTGCTTGTACAAATCTCATTAGCAGTCGTGTAACGGCACGCATCACGAAGCACTAAGCAATCGTCCATAAAAAACACGCAGTCATAAAAAACTTGTTTTTTTCATTCTGTCTAACATGACTAACCCAATGTTTTATTTAATAAAATGTTCTGCTTTTACATTAACTATATATTAGGGACGTAGCATAAACAAAAACTCCATGAATAATTGACTCATGGACATTTCATCACTGACTTCAGAGAATAGAAGAACATTGAGGAGAAAACTATGGAAAAAACTGGCACGTCAAAAAAACCACCTCAGGTTTAATCTCCGCTGCCGAGGGAAAGGCATTACAGCAGCTAGCCACAACATAAAAAAAATCCCATCACAACAAAAAATGGATAGAGCACCGAGGGAAACCAAATCCAAACCTTCCCAATGGGAATGACATGTGGATGATATAATAAAAATAGGAAAGATGGGACACACAACAACTCACAGAAAATATCAAATTCTCACACACAAAGAGGAGAAGAACAAAACGATAGCATTGTTAGACTTAAAGATACATCAAACAGAAGAAGCCGACATAAAAATGACAACACACAGGAAACCAACCCATACACACCAACAACCTCTCTGGAGATCCCGTCGCACACAAAATATCAGTCATAAGAGCATCACAGTATCAATATAACGGAGGGGAATTTTATTTTTATGGATTTAAAATATCTTAGTTAGTTATGCTTTTGTGTGGTAAAGGCCCAGTTTTGCTTAACAGTGACAACACTGTGCACAGAGTGGATCAGCTTCACCTGCCACATTGATTAGTGGGCCAACTCTGCTGTGTCCCCAAAGGTGATCATCGGTTCTTAATCCTCCTCAATCTCTTGTGGAGTTTGCTAGACCCCTGGACATGACGGCGGGTTGCGGAGGGGTGGGGGCTGGTTAGGTAACTAGCTAATTTTCCAAGAGGTGTATACTCTCATTATAACAAGTAAACAAGTTCTTTGCACAGTGTTTTCCATTCAAATGACATGGCTGTGGTGTGGATGGTTTGAATAATCATGGTTTGAAAGTAACAAAAGTGCTGATTGACATGTCTGCAGAACCCTTACAAGATAATTTGTCCTCCCTTGTTTGGCTGTGGCTCAACGGCCGTCTTTTCCCTGACATGAGGCTGCATTATATCAACTGAGAGAGTGAGATGTGGGGGGTTTGTTTTGTCCAACTAGCATATTGAATTGTTCTGTCCAACAGGGTCACCTGTCCTTTTAGCTGTTTTTGTTGAGATTGATGATAAAGCTGGGAAATTAACATCAGTGGTGTTTTATGGTGTAAATCTAACACTGACAGTGTGTGTGATGAGAGTGTAGAGCCCCGGGTCTGGGCTTGAATTTACTGCTGGGCCTCCACGAGGTGCTGTGCATGTAATTCAAAAAAAAAAAAAAAATGCCTGTGATGAAAGGAAACAGCTGCTCAATGAATCTGTCTCTTCTCTCCTCTTATATCCGAGTCTGGCTGCAAAAGCAGCTCTCTCTAATTTAATAGCACGAGAGACACTTACATTAGATCTCTTATAATCATCCTTCAGACAACAGCAGGCTGTTGATTGATTAAGTGAAACAAGCAAGAGGGAAATTCAAATAAGGCCTCTGTTCTGTCAGGACACCACAATCACGTCCTGACACTTGAAAAAAAATCTTAACTAGGACCTGAGATGCTCCCAGTGCATGACCAGGCAAAGAACAACCTCATCTAAGGCCTTGTTCAATCATCTGGGGATGTTGCTGGGAAAGCTGGGAGAGTTGTAAAAATTAAGTGGTATGATTTTAAAAGTACAAAAAAAAAAAGCAGATGGATGTGATGTCAGTAGGTAACATTAAGGTCCACCTATGGTGCATGCTGTATGTTTGTATGTTGCTCAAATGCTTTGGAGGTTCTAAAGAGTTACAAAATCACATTTTTGTAACATTTTTTAAGGTGTGGTAGAGAAGTATGTGAGGGTGGTGCAGGGCATCTAAGAGGCCACAGTCATGTGGTGTGCAGTTGCAGTCAAAAATTATGCAGATTTCATGTAGTCTGCTGGCTGTCACTGGGAGTGAACAGAAGGGAATGATTTGGAGATAAAAGGATAGATAGGAAAAGAGATGGATGGACATAGCCTTGGGGAAACAGTGGGTATATAGGGCACAAAAATGGGAGAGGAGCCAGGAAGGAATAAACAAATTAGTTTTAAAAGGAAAGACTCTCAAATTCAGATGAGACAGTGTGGCAGAGAAATACCGAAACATTGAAACGTCGAAACATGACTGCATATTTTGTGAGCTGTTGAGGTTGTCCAGATCCCAGATGATTTAAACAAGGAAGACCATGGAGAAGGAGATTTATCAGTAGTAGAGCAATAGCATCCCCCGTTCAGTCACAGCTTGGACTTTAATAACCAGCAGAATTAAGATGCATCTACTCGAGTTCAGTGGCAGCTAAACACATTCTGAATTTAATCGAGATAATTTTTCATCTCAACCCCCTTTAGAGCAAAACAATCAAACACATCATTACCCAAATCTGTTCCCTGACCACACCAAGCACGTTCATCCACTGCTGAAGAAGTTGCCAATAAATAATAAACATCATCAGGCTCACACACTGTTTTAAAGGACGGACAGATCCACCGAATTTGTAGCCTTGAGAGCTAGAACAAAAGGTACAGAGATTTCACTTGTTATAGAAATTTCAACTTTTTGTGCATCAAAAATATGCTCAGCCATTTTTTAAAAATGTTAAATAAAAAATTAGAAATGGGCCAGTATCTGGTTGGATCCTTATTATTATTTTAATACTTGTTAGTGCTATATATAACAGACTGCATGAAAGGCACAGGACGTCCTCTGTCTGTGAGGCCTAATCCCCTTTTTTCATAATCAGATTTATTTATTTTTTATATGTGATTTGTTTGGTTGATCTTGCTTTTATCTCGGCCAGTTACTGCAGTGAGTGACATACAGTATATGCATGTGTTTAATGAACATCCTCATACACAGAACATCTATTGACTTTCAGTCCATCTAAGAACGGCTGGAGCTCAAAGACGTCAATAGCATTTGACAAAATTGATGAAACACTTCCTATTTGATTAATGTAGTTTTCCAGAGCATCTGCAGACTGTTATGATTACGAATACAATACCACCCAAGGATGCAGAAAGTCTCTATACAACAGTGGTTTCCATCATCAGCCATAGCTTGAAGAAATGTAATCTGACTTCCTGAAAATGTTTAAATGTATTATTTATTTAGGATGGCAGGCGCTAACGTTTTGTTTCTTTAATATGTAACCGTATGGTTGTGTCAGTACAAACACTGACACGTTCAGTTTCTTCTTTGCTTTTTATTTGAGAACAAAAGGTTCAAATAATCTTTTAAATTGCAGACATATTATTATTGGAATCCAGGTAGTATTGCAGCTTTCCTGGAAGTTGGATTGCATGTATTAAAAATTGAATTATAGAATATGACTAGGCCTGGGAACACATACATTTACATTTATTTCAGAAAAGACTAAATTAATCAACTCTTTCGTGGCTCACCAGTTCTGTCATAGTGGTGACAGTGATGTCACCCTGTAGGTGGCGGTAATGCACCTCAGGTTTGTTTACCAGGCAAATAGCGTGTGTAGGGCAGTGATTCCGAACCACTGTGCTGTGGCACACTAGTGTGCTGTGGAAAATATTAAATTTCACGTAATTGGTCTGAAAACTATTTTTTATTTATTGCATATAATTTTTCTTTGCTCATCAAAGCACGAACGGCAGAACAATTAATTACTCTTCTGCTTGGTGGCAGCAGATGGCTATGAAAATAATCAAAGCTGTTGAAAAAGATCTTTGAGTGTCTTTCTTCAATTCCTGTTAGTATATCAGCGTTGTCTTCAACTAAACAGGAATACATTTTTAGTCAATTTAAACTAGAAGATTATTATATTTCATTAAATATACTTTTTGTGAGATTTTTGTTTGGTGGTGTGCCGTGGGTTTTTCCTGATGATATATATGTGCCGTGGCTTAAAAAAGGTTGGGAAAGACTGGTGTAGGGTGTTGTGTAGTACACAAATCTTTGTAGATCAATGTTGGTATCTGTTCAAAGCAAATATCTGGAGCACGTTTTACCCCCGCAATTCCACGTGCAGAGAATTACTGTTTAAATGTATGTGTGTCTACTTTGTGCATACACATATACTTATAGCATGTATCTGTGTGTCTTCACAGTCTTCCGACCACAGACCATAATGAGAAGCCGCAGGCCACAAGAGGCAGCAGGTGGTGGGTATCCAGAGCAGGAAAAAGCATTTCTCATTTTGTCCTCCTACCTCCACTGCTGTCTTTGTGTCTCACTCCTCTCATCTTCCACCTTCTGTTACTCTCAGCAAGTCTCCAACAAAAGATGTCATGGAGTAATCCACAATTGACGCAGGAAAAACCAAGGACAATCCCCTTGTTTTTTTGTCTTTTGTGTAGTGCTTCCAACATTTAACACTTTCATTTCCCCCCAAAAAGCAAAAACAGAACCTGTTAATGCAAGTCAAATGGTAGAAATGTTTGTTTTGTGTGTCGTTTAAATGTGCATCTATGAAAGAAATCATGCGTAGTCACACTTCAGGGTCACTGTGAGTCTTAAATAATGAGGGAAGAAAATGTGATGTGATGAGGGAAGGGGTAAAAATAGAGAGGAAATCCCATTGAAAACATGTAGAGGAGTGTGATGGGATAAACAAATGAAGGACCAATGAGGATGAAGTACACAGCAATGTTTTCAAAATCTGTTTATTATGAGGCCTTTAAATTTTAATTATCAAAATTTGGATTTATTTTAGAATCATCCTGAGGGATGTGTTGAACAATGAAAAAACAAAATTTTAATACAAAACTCGAAAATTCTACACACAATTCAAACTACACAACTTCCTGTTGGTGTGAGCATAGTTTTGAATAAGGACCGCTAGAAGGTCATGTATATCAACCTGAACAAAAGCAAAGTTCTGTTGGGCTTGAAAGACCACTTTGCTTGTACCGACGACAACCAAATGGATGTATGGTTGTTGTGGTTCTACTCTTGTTTGCTCTTTTCTGCAGTTTAGTGTGTGTGGCTGTGGGCGTGGCCCAAGGCTCTTGCTGCAGCAGATGAGGCTAAACTGTTGCTGATCAGCAATCACCAGCCAACAAAGGCCTTGCTGTGAACTGTCTCCAGTGCCAGATAGTTCTGTCTGGTCGCTAGAGCCACAGCTTGTCTCTTCACTCCTGTTGTTTTTATCTGCATCGGACTGTCTGTTGCCAAGGCTTCACCGACCTCAACGGATGAGCTGGTTAAGAATTTCCTTGTTGTTGTCTCAAACAAATTAAGGAATTGTTGTCTTGTCTTAATCAGCTTTCCTAGGTATGGGTTGCTGGTTCTAAGTGTCAAGTCAAAGATAAATCTTGATCTTTAAGTGTTCCCAGTTGAGTTGAAAGTGCTAAAATCACTCCAACAGGTCCTTGGGTCTGCCTGACAATCTTGCTGAGAACACTAATTATTTATTCTTTACTTAGTTTTAAGCAGACTTTTATCTTTTGAGTGTTTGCAGACCTTGGAATCTGTGAAGTAACCTCACTCTAACTAAAACTCTTTTTTTTATTTTTCCAAGATGAGGTTAGATGGGAGAGAATTGATAATCTCTTCTTCACTTCACACTGATCAGGTATTCTGTTGACCTATACTGCTGACCTTCATTCCACTTTTCACCAAACTCCACCTCTCCAGGTTTTCATCTGTCAACCTGGCCATCACCATAGCAAACAGAGACAGGCTTACAGCTGATCCAACCCCTTCCTTCATCGAATCAGATTCTTCAAATGCACACACAACTCCTGTCTCACTGGCCCTAGACATGCCCAGCCCGACCCTCACATACTTCTCTGCCGCTCCTAGCCTGTATACAATAGATACTACCAACTTCATACCTGTGTAGTTGCATTACTCTGCACATTACTCTTCTTCTCTAAATTTGGTACTTGTTCCCTCGTTCATTAGGAGGAAAAACTTTTTTAGTACACTATCCTCTGTCTGTGGTACAAATCCTTCTCCCCTTCGTTATTGTCTATCCTCCCATCCAATTGTTTGTGCTGTCCTCATCACTCCTCTTCTAGTCTCTTGGTATATTTATGTTTCTCATTTTCCAGATTATTCCACCTTTTCCTTGCTTCCCTCGTCTTCTGGATGCTGTCCTGAACATCTCAGTTCCACCTCCAACTTTCCTCATTATCTCTCCATTGACTTGAAGTCACACCTGAGAACTTCCTGCCAGTTTTCCTAAACACTTGATTGGTCTTTTGGTAGTTCCTCACGAAGCCCGAGAGCATCTCTCAACTCCACTCTAAACTCTTTGCAACACTCCTTCGTCTTTAGTTTCATGTTTATTTCTTGCCTCTGCCTTTACTCACTTTCCCCTCCTCATTTTACATTTTCTACTCCACACGGCCATTCTCTGCTGCTTAGCTACGGTACCTACACTTCCCCTTTCACCAATGTACAATATCCAGTCCCTTCCAGATGACATCTTCTGCACATTATATAACCCTGCTATTTATCATCCTCTAACTGGTAGAAAAACAAACAAAGACTCTGAGATATTATTAAAATATGTTCCTTAGTTTTGTTTTCACCAGGGCAAGGTGGGATCCTGAATATATTTGATCAGGAGTCACTGCAGAAATGACACTGTGAGGCAATCTGTGTTTAGAAGGGGCAGGTCAGCAGGTGGCGCAGCAATACATTACAAGTTTAAGGTGTGTGTTTATACATTTATACAGTAAAATCTGATCATAGTTTGTTTAATCTCCATATTCTAAATTTAAAATGATGAGGCAGTAATAAACTTTTCTCAGGTAGAGGATGTGGCTGTAATGAAAAAAAAAAAAGAGCAAATGTCCTCAGTATTTCTGTCTTACTGTGGCACTGAATGCGTCATGGATTTCCCACCGGTCTCTCTGCAGTATGTGTGATTAACTTGAATTTAAACTCAGATGAAGACATCATTTCGTTTGGACAGCATGACGAACAAAATGAATATCAAACATTATCTTTTGCCCTGATCAAAGCTCACAGTGACGGCTATAATCTGGATGAATAAAGGGTTTTAACACATGAAGAGCAATTATGTGCTTCCACATTTTCACAGACAAATATTTGGAGATTAATTGAAACATAAAAAAGACGTTGAGAGTCTTTTTTATGCTAATGGACCAAACCAATCTGTTTCAAACCATATGTGGGTCCCTGGATGGAAAATTTCCTCCATTCCGAGGTTTTTAAACCAACATTTTACTACCTCATAAAATTTTATCATCACATGGTCTAGAGCAGGGGTGCCCAATTAGTAGATAGAGATCTAACAGCAGATCACAAAGGTAGTGCTGGTAGATCATGAGTATTTCAAATAAATAAAAATCTAATTCTGTGATGTGTAGCAGTGGACATATTGAACTGAATCACACTGTGTCACACAGCTACATGCATTTATTCAGTTCCCCAGTATATAATGTTATAAATATTGTTCAGTTTATATGAGTAAATATATATTTAACATTTTCACATTTTCACACAGGTAGGTCACTTTAGCCTGGGTATTTGAATAGTAGCTCCTAAGCCAAAAAAGTATGGACACTCCTGGATTAAGGAGGGGAGGCAGCATTTTCCATGTAAAAATATCCCAAGATTTGTTATTATAATCCACAGAGGTAACTGGTTCATTTTTGATTAAAAGCAAAATTAAATCTCTTGGAATCTGTCCATCTTCCTTAAATTGGTGAAGCACCTATAATTGTTTTTTGTCTGTGAGCTGAATTTAATTAAGGACAGTTGGACTCACTCTAACTGACATCAGGTGTGCACTTACTGCAGTTCTCAAGCCGAGCATCAAGAGTCTATAAAAACACAAGCCCAAAATATTTCCTCTGGTTTTGTTTTGTTTTTTTTTACTCCGTCCGATGACGTTTACTCACCACTGACCCAAATGACGTCAGGGTCATGAACTCTAAACTCTGGCTTCCACAGATCTGCCACAGTCAGGCTGGACTTGCTGCTGCCATTGACCTCCACTGTGGAATACACAAAAACAGATCAATTTGACAGATTTTCATTTTCACAGCTGAAGAAGGAAGGACAAACCCTAGAGTTAATTGGAGCTTAAATAGACAATAAGCTTTTACAGACTCACAAAAGGCAGTGAGTAAAAGATTACACACTCTCAACTCTTTCAGATCGCACTTTATATACCAAAACACACTGCATGTTGGCATGCTGATCATTGTTAATATTTAACTACTCAATTACATGAAAGGTCAAGTTGCCAGCTAAGGTTAAAAAACAGCATTAGAACTGGGAGGAAAAGCAGATCTAATTTAAAATGTTTCAAATGTGTGATCTGGGGCAAAAACTCTCCGCTGTTATCTGTCCAATAAAAACAGGAAACTACAACTATCATGTGCGTAATCACATCAAATCTCAGAGTCAGGGTTTGTCTCCTAATGGCTACAGGTGGAAATCTCCCGATGGATGTCCCTACGCAGGATGAGGTCCCATGTCAAAAAGCTCGAAACGTCTCAAAATTGTTTTTTAAGATGACAATGACTTCACTGTGCTTTAGTTGACATGAAGGAAACATGCTTTGGACTAAAATCTCCCAGTAAAGTCCCCAGCATCTTGTTGATTTTATGATATAAAGAATTTTAACGTACCAGGTGTGAGGACGACAACCGACATAGTGATGAGAGAGCAGACCACCACGATCACCAGCAGCGAGATGGCGATGCCCTTCCAGTTCCTCTGTGGAGGGCTGACATCCACAAAATCCTGCAAAGACACAAAGCAAACAGTCGGAGAAAGACATGAACTTCAACTGCGTCTTCAGCACACAGTGGGTTTGAGCCACTTACAGACAGTCAAAAAAACATTCACAGGTCACAGAAATAGAAATATAGTAGTAGAAGAACACCGTTCCTGTAGATGACCCTCTGTTTCATTAAAGATTCAGGCAGGATTTTTAGCATTCATCTTAAGTATTTGACAACCACAGGGATTGATTTTTTTGAATTTTTGTTGTAAAAAGAGGCAGCTGGAGAAGGACTGTCTAGACAGAGCGAGCATTTAATGTCTGAAATCTGCCATTAGAGGAAATCATTTTAAGACAGAGAAGGAAAACACTTGTTCTTAACACATAGCTTTTGATTCTATGTATTGTTCCTTTCAAAGGACAAGAGTCACAGATGGTTTTACTTGAACATTTTCACTTTGAGTTGTGTTTTGAGTTCTGATAAACGACGTCTGAATTCTTTTCATCACAGCTCTGTCTCTCCCTGTTTGGTTGGACAAAGTTAACCAAGGTAACGCTGACAAAAGAGAAAACGGTGTAGTGGATGCTAATGGGAAAGGAGGTTCATTCCTATGGGTCTGGAAAAAGGACAAGGACGTGATGCTCCAAGCCCCCACCTGTGTCCCAATACTGATGACTAATAGAAGGTCGTCACGGCACATTTGTCCAACTTTCAGATCCACAGAGAAAACTGCTGTGTGAACCTGCAGCTTTATTGTACTGTGACTGCATTTTATCATTTTCTGTCGCAATTTGTTGGAACGTTTGTAGAAATCGTACGTTTACCAAACATGGAGATCCAGTATGTAGCCCAAGTGGTGGGATTCAAAGGATACCAACTGGTTAAATGCATTGAAAATAAAGAGTGAGGGGGAGGGTCTGGATCAGCTAAGATTTAATCAGTTTAGTGGTACACAACAACAAAATTTATATATACATACAGTATATACAGTATATCTAAATTTCCCCAAAGGAACTCCTGAGGGATTAATAAACTACTATTTATCTCTCTATCAATATATATATATATACAGTATATAGGTTGTAGTAGTGACCATATTTTGTCTTAGCGCTACAAGTATTTAACCAGTACCCCACCCTATATTGTATATATAAAGTATATCCAGTTTAATTTAGTAAATAAACACAGTATTTAACATTTCCGGTGCAGGTAGATCCCTTTATCCCAGTCGTTTGAATAGTAGCTCACAGGCCAAAAAAGTGTGGACACAGCTGAATTAGAGCAATTTATGAATCCATTAATTTTACATTAATTTATCATGTTTGTATATTTGTTGGCTATTTTAATTACAGGACACACAGCACTGGAGCATTTAGGCATGTAATAGAAAAACAACTCAAAGGTTGATGTTGTCGAAACCCATTAGAAGAGAGAGGAAAGAGTCCTTTTTATTCACACTAGCATTTTCGTACACTAGCATTCTTTTCTTTTCTGTGTGTGAGACCGTAGTTGGACTCCAGAGTATCTCAGTCATCAACTGAATGGACTGTGGAGCAGAAGCTACTGTATGGGATTACAGTACGGCACGAAGATAACTGTAACTGATGGAGTGTGAGGGTAAGACCATTCTGAATGAATGACTGTCTGAAACCGTAGATATAATGACCAAACGTGCCCAGAATAATCTGCATCAATGCTGGTGAGATGGAAACTGTGCAATTAATGGAGCAGGAATACACAAACAACAAGACAAACACACACACACACATCTACACAAACACACAAGAAAAAGAGCGAAAACAGTTTCTTCTCCTCGCCACTGAAGTGTATCTGAACAACAGACTGATGCAGTGAACTGTAACTGCTTATCTCCATACACACACACGCGCGCGCGCGTACACACACACACACACACACATATATATTCAATTACAAGAAAGTAAACAGGCTCATTAGGTCTGTATTTGGTACAAAAACTTACAGAAACCAATGGTTCCAACTCAGCTGTTTCCAGCTGGAACTTTCAACTCTGATTCTGTTTCCCTCTAGCTGTCAACAGAGACTGACTCTGACACAAACCGATATCATCGTGAAGGAAAAGGGCAAAGAGGAACACAACGCATCAACAAGACAGAACGGTGGATTCGCAGTGAAATCAGATTGTGATGAAAGTATTTAAAACAAGACAACTAAAAAAGTAGAAATGAAAAACCATCAAAGGAAATGTAACTGTTCCAGCACCACAGTTTATACAGTCAGTACAAGGGGAAAAAACATCAAGGTGAAACATCTTGCAAAACAGCGCATCATCAAGGAGTTCTTTTCTGAAATGTTGTGAACCTGTGACGTCCTGTGTTCTCAATTCACAGCATCCAGACAGCCAGTGAGATGTGATGACAGACTGTCTGGTATTCACACATCACAAACAACCATCAGAGATCATGCAGCTTCATCTCTCACAGCTGCTCAAACAAGAGACACACAACCCAACAAATGAAAAAAACAACAAAGACAACCATTTTCAACTCCATTTTCTGCACAGAGCCTTAGAGAAGATACAAACAAGAAACTGATTGCATCTGAACATGCAACGAGATTATAAAGCTCCAATGATTGAAATAAGTATACAGCAGAAAAAAAAATCATAGAATTTACAAAGAATAATTCTTTCACTCAAAATAGTCACTTTGTTATTTTCTATTCAATTACGACCGATAGTGGTCACTTTGGGTAGTTTCCAATTGTCTATGACAGTGGTTCTCAAACTTTTTATACTCTGTACCACCGGAGAAAACATTGAGCTCTCTGAGTACCGCCATGATGACAACATTAGAATATGGCAGTGTAGGCCTTCCCTGTTAGCTTATTTCATAATCTCACCAGTAGCTACACATTTTTCTAAATGTTGTATTAATTGTCCATGGTATATTTCAGATTTATTCAATTGAAAATGTGAATGTGAAAATATGAATTTCCCCCATGTACCACTAGAGAGTGCTCGCGTACATCTGGTGGTACACGTACCACAATTTGAGAACCACTGGTCTATGAAAATTCTCAGTCATCCAGGTCATGGTCAAGGTTGACGTAAAAAAAATTATAATTTTTTGAGGACAATGAAATATTTTATTTCTGTGCAAAGTCCGTTAATTCAAGCTAAGGCTCAGTAAGAAAGCACTCAGAAAAAATGTTTTAGACAAAATAATATAAAGTTTAACAAAATAAAGTCCTTTTTTGTTGTCCTCTTATGTTAACACAATATATACATTTTTATATATTAGTCTCAAGGCTGTGATAGCATCTGTACTGAACGTGGCAAAGTGGTAATGACTTCTTATAGATCAGCAAAGCCAGGCTTTTATTTTGACAAACTAGAAAACAATGGTGACTATTTTATAAATGTATACTTTTATCTGCCTGCATCTGGTTGGTGTCAGAGTCAGACTTCACGTGGTTCCTGAAAACTGAAAACCAATGGATTTGTGTCAGTTACGAATAAATATATATGTTCAACAATAAAGAAAAAAAAATCCCAAATCGATACCTAAGAAGAATCACCTCATTGACAAAAATTAAATTTAGCTGTAATAAACTGGAACAATGAGTTCTTATAGATAACAACTCACATACGACTTGTGAACAAACTTTTTATATATTTACTTTGTAAAACTAAAATCTTTATGGTATAAACTCTGTAAAAAGAAGGCAGCTCCAATTGTTATTTACTAAGAAAACAGCCTAGGTATAAGATTTACATGCAAAAGGTCAGTGATCAGTATATCGTTATAAGAAACATTCTTGAATGGATGTGGTTGAATCTGCATCATATGTCATTATTATAGAGATATTGTAGAGTTGTTTTCATCAAATTATTTTTTCATTTTTTCAATGTATGCGCCTGAAAACCTTAACGATATCTCCCTTATTTAACGTCCTTCTAAACGTGTTACAGCGAAGACTGTCGTCTGTCTGTCTCCTCTCTGCTGGAGAAAAACCCGACAAAATAAAACGAATATCGTATTTTATCTCCATCTACCTCATCCTGCTGCGCCTCCTTCGGTTTCTTCTTGGTCGGGTCTTTTGATGCGGTCATTGTAGCCGAGGAGCAGCGTCGTTTTCCAGGCTGGATCCAGCGGCTTCCCCTGGTAATGACATCCAGACCCGTGAGCTTCTGTTTAACAGCAGCAGCAGCAGCGGCAGAGACACGCAGTTTCCGAGTGCAGATTTCAAAATAAGAGCCTTGTAATTTGGTTTGTATTGCAGACTATAAAGAGTAAAGAGAGAGGACAAAGCTGTGCTGCTGCGACGACGACTCTGGGGAACACATCCAGAACTGGACCAATGTTGACGTGACTTTGTTTTTTTTTTTCAAGGACCAATAAAATTTATCAAGTTAAGATTTGTATAATACAAAGTACAAGTGGAAAGGTGAAAATGTCTAGAACAATTCAATAACAGCTGCAGCATTTTTTTATTTGTCTTGTATTTTTATCTTTTTGTGTGTGTGCGCGCGAAGGGTGTGTGCGTGTGCGCGCGTCTGTAAAAAAAGGTTTATTAAGGAAGATTTTTTTTTATGATTACAACATTCCTTCCTTGTAAATACTGCGTTTCCATTCATATGAGACAAATGAAAAGACGGGTACAAGTTGCCAAAAGTAATTTCCATGTATGTTTACCTAATGGACATTTAATGGACTCTATATAAAGCACTAGTAGTATAGTAGTGTATTGTAATTTTTTGCTACTTTGCCTTTTCTTTATAAACTACACAAGGTTTCTGGATGGATCTTGCTTTTAATATTCTTTTATATTTTAGCATATTATCAATATCTAACAAGACTTGGTGATGCGCTGCTACTACTGAATGTACATTTACATTTTAAACACAATACGGGACAGTGTTCAACAGGACCTTTATTTTCCTAACTAGGACCAATATCCTGCCTTACTTCATATGTTTTGAGCCTACCTTCAGATGTACTGTACGTGCATGTATTTCGCATTAGGGGTTTCGCGTCTCTGTCCATGGTGCTGAAAGAGTCAGTCTTCGTCGATACAGTGCTGTCGTCGGTGTTGTACGAAACGAGGTGTGGGCAGAGAAATAGACTCATATCTTCGACCATTCCAACATGTGTTCAACCTGTTCCATGTTTGTTTGGTTTTTTTATATAAAGGTTATGGTTGATTTTTGCCATACTTTTCTTGCATGTGTTTTGAAATTTACATATAAATAAAAAAGAAAACTCATTACTCATATTGAATCGTTTGGGTGATTTACACTGACTTATTATAACACATTGGTTTATCAACACCATCATTAGGTAGCTCATTGAATAATGGTCACGTATTTAAAGTTGCTGAATCAGTTTCTCAACAAAAAAGATTCCAACTCTATTAGTCTAATTCTGAACAAAGTTCAGTATCTTTTGACATTTTAAGATTTGGTATTTGATGGAAAGGTAGAGTTTGAGGCCACAGTGTGTAGGAGAAAGAGTGATTTAATGCATTGTAGCTGCCTTAAACTGACCATCATCAGGTATAAAACCTCAATATGTTCGCTGTAACATCAAAATGAGTGCAGTGGCTTTTGTGCGTCTATCTACGTTTATGTATAAAGCAGTGTAATATTCAACGCCCGGACTACAGATTGACTGTTTGTCCTACCTTTGGAATTTTACACCTGATGATGTCACTCTACTATTACCATGCTATCACATCAGGGACTCAGGGCTCTCGTGTAACGTCTAGTATTAGAATAGCGCTCAGAAATAAATTATAGGATTATATCACTGGCTGGGGTTTCGTCTGAAATCCCTGCAGATGAGAATGAAACGAGACAATCGGGCAGATCAGTAACCAGCTGGCCTTTCCTGCTGCCAAGTGACAGAATGCAAACTGATAGGCGTCACAGAGAAGGCCCCAAAGACACAAACGGCATCAACACACTCACACATGCCGCGCACACCATTCCCTTCAGAAAATTATCTTTCGTCCCTTCTCTGCTCTTATGGAGGAAGGGGGAATCAGAGCGCACTAAAAAGACAATCCCAGCTACAGATGTGAATCTCCTTATGTACAGAGTATCTATACCCAAGAGGTCTGAACAGATTAAAGTGTCCCAGGAAAAAGGCTCTTCCCTCGTGCTCTCACATTTAAATCTACTTTATATATACATATATATATATACATATATATATATATTTATATATATATGTATATATATATATATATATATATATATATATATATATATATGTACAGGTGACCTCTTAAAGTTTAAACTGAGCATCAGAAAAGGATAGCTTTTTCAAGTTATGGTTTTTTAACAGGATTTGCATACTGCTGGTCAAGTACAATCATCCTCAGTCTTTCAGTTGGTATAAATCAGCTAATGTAATGTCAGATGTTACGGGGGTCATCCAGACAGGACAATAATCAAGCGTTGACCAAAGCTAAAATTTTCATCAAATCTATAAGAATCTGAAAAAACTCTGTGCCCCAAAATCTGTAAGAATATAAAGCACAGATCAGTTGTCTCCTGTGTAGGTGTGGTGAATATTTGATGATAACTTTGTAGTTCATTAAACCATTAGTGAAAATCATCTCAAACATGTTCTTAAATAAGTTTGATGGTGTTTAATGGCAACAGCTACTTGATACTAATCTAATACTACTGGGAGTACTACTGGGAACTATGCCATGTCTGTTCAAAGCATTGCTGATGGCCAAGAGGATGTCTTTTGTGTTTCATCTATAAATAACCACACTGTTCTCTTCAGATTGGTTGTTTTTTTTTTTATGTCTGTCCAGGACAGACCAAATGGACAACCAACAAAATATTACCTCACACAGACCTGCTCAGCTATTGCACTTCCACTGTCGAGCGAAGCCATTTTTCTTTTAAAGACAGTCATAAAACTTTATTGTGTTCTTCGGTTGATGCAATGAGCAGCGAGCAGCACAGAAGGAAACTCTTCTATTACTTACCACGACCAGGCTTGTCAGTCTTCTCAGTTATTTCTTTTCTTTTTTTCTTTGACGTGAGGGAAATTTGTTGATTCTTTCAGAATACGTGGGTCCTTGGTGATAATGACTACACACAACACTTAATATAATAATAAAGAAAACTATGAAAAACAGATGGATGTATCTCTGTTACTGCAGTTCCTTTCAGTCTCAGTTTCAAGACTGAAAGGGAAAAATCTCTCACATCACCTTGTTTTGATCTAAAGATTTTTATTGTGTAAGCTGTAACCTCCGCACTGGAAGAAATGTTGCTTGGCCTTGGAATGGTGTTGTGTTTTGTTTTTTTATGCTGCACTTCACTTAACTTCTCTGTTTTCTCTTTAACTGCATTGTAATACACACATATGCAAGCACACACACACAAAGACCTTTTTAAAGATGTTTAAGATGTGAAGACAGATATTAAAGAAACGTGTTCTCGTTAGTGACGTGCATCAAATAAAGTCAGAGAATTTGCCTTTCACATTTTTCCTATCTTCCAGTCCAGGACTCGTGACTCAACTTGGACTCTGAAGAACACTGATTAAAGACAGGCGGACAGACACGTTGATAGAACCCAGGGTGTTTATCTCATTTTAAACAGTTTCTTCAGATGCAGTAGAGGGATTCAAGCAAAACAACTTCTTCCATATCAAAGACAGTAATGATACATGATTGGATGCAAAACCCTGGGTTTTGGACTTGGGCCTCTTTGACTCACTACTGCATTAAGTGCTAGTGTGAAAACAGAAAAAGTGTGACTGAAAACCCTAAGGACTTAATGAGTCAATCTGACCTGAAAACACTGGAAACTCGATGTAAACGTATTATTATTTTTGGACACGATCATTAAAACTTGGACTCAAAAACATGGAGACTTGGACTCAACTAAATCTCTTCCTTGTAAACTGTTTTATTGCACCTTCTTCCTGTGACTTCTTCTACTAAAAATTAATTCGCATTGTTGGCTCATATGAAAGTCTTACGTTTGTCTCTGAGCCCTTCTGTGTGGAGTTGGCATGTTCTCCCATCGTGTGTGTGTGTGTGTGTTTTTGTTGATCATAGCTGTGAATTTGACATTTTGTTGTTGTTGTTGTTTTAAAAATAGTCATGCACAGCACAATTACACAACATCTCATCTAATCTGAAATATAAGTCAGTTTAGCTTTGTATTTATTTGTATCAAACCGTCTGCTCTCAGTTTTATTTTACCTACAAAATTACAAATCATTCTGTATTTCAGAGGAACTGAATGTGAAAAAAGAATGTTTAAAATGGCTTTAACACTGCTCCAAGCAGACATGGCCCAAATGGAAAAAGAAGCCTTGAGGAACATTCAACTTTTTTTTTCTTATTCTCTTTTTTTTCATGATTAAAGAGGAGCAGGAATTAGAATATGCTGCAACGCAAGAAAACTATTATGAGAACAAAAGAAAGCAGACACTTTTTATTGCCAGCTCCAAGGGTATGAACTTAAAACCATCATCAGCGCCACTTGATGGGAGCTGAATGTGGAGCGTCAGTGCTCAGATGGAGATAAGAATGAAGGCACAAGGTCAAGAGCAAGAAGCGGGGGAAGAAAAAAGTCTGCAGATTGAGATTCAGAGGAAAGCGGGGAGTAGAACGCTGTTTTTAATGGAAGCTGAGGAGTGGGAGTTGAAGAAACAAGGGGCTGAGGTGGAAGTGAAGAGAGGCAGGAACAGAGCAAGAAGAAAGGAAAAGATCCTCAAAGCCTTAGGCTGGCCACTCTTCCCATCGCTATTAAATATTTAACAGGTGGAATCAGAGACCATGTGGAGCTGATCTCCTTTTCTCTGACCTCTGCTGATGCATTTTGGACGTTTACCACCTCAGATACGCAAATGTTTCCGCCAATCTGTTATTTCAGATGAGCACATGCATGGTGCTATTATTAACTCAGCCCATCGACTGGGACATGGAAGGTGTCATTAGCAAAGTACTGTGATCACTCTGTCTACGTCTGCCTCCCATAGACTATTAATAAAAGATGGATGTCATCTCCAAACATGTCGTTTTGGCAGCAATGCAGCTACTGGCCAGCAACGAGCTCTTCAGCTCATGAATCACCAGTTGCAAACTTTTCAATTAAATCATCAATGATCAAGTTACAAATATTATTCTGCTCTGTGTAATTAAAAAACGTTTAATTTACCAGGTTAAGAAATTCAGCTACGTGATCTCTATTAAATGCTTTTTAAGCTCCTGTGAGCCAAACAAAATGACTTGGCGGGCCATATTTGGCCCTTGAGTTTGATCTCCAATGTGTTAGTCCAATCCTGGGTTTTCTTTATGGACTTGTGCATGTTCTCCACTTGTTTGAGGTCAATGAACTCTGCTAGCATGCAGTGACATGCAAATTCACTGGATACTGGATACAAGAATCAGTTTGTTCTTCTTAATCCAGAAAAGCAGTTCCAGACAGCGCTCCTTTCTTACCTCATGTTACAACCCCAACAACAGCCTCTAGGCTGGGGTACCAGCATCTGCTACTCCTGTACCAAGGAAATTTACATCTTTGTGGCTGTCAGTGTGGACAGCCACTATGGGGCACTCTAGCTGGCTGGTGCAACTTATATTCCAGAGGGACACATATATGTTTTTTTTTTTTCATTATGCATTTTTGACTGGTGCAACTTATCTTCCAGAGGGACTAGTCCGGAAAATACGGTATGTGCTCTTGAGTAAGAAATGAATACCTTCAATTTCCAAACGTCAAAAACAGATTATTCGCTTTTCTGTTCTCAAGCGTTATAACACTAGTCACTAAAGAAACATCAAACTGAATCTAAAGAAAGACTAAAATGTGACTGAATGTTATGAGGAATGGGGAAAAGTTGTTTTCTTTATGACTCAACATTTCTGAGGTTCTTCTGCTGCTCCCCTCTGATCTCCACAGCCTTCTGGGAAACACCTCTGCTTTCTAATCAGGGACTGATTTACACCAGGGACGGCAGGTGAATGTAATTAACCCGCTGCCAGGGTTTAACTTCACAGGGCTCAGGGTTTGGTACCAGTGAGGTTTGCTGGAGAATGCTGAAGATAAGGTAAGCCACAGCAGGGAGCTACAGTATCAGGAAGGTTCTTAGAGCAGAATTAAGCCACAAGAAAAAAAACCTGACTTTGTGACTTGACTTTTTTCTCTCACTCTATCTTTAGACATATGGCTCCTAAAGTAAACTATTGCAATACCGTGCTGTATTTTCTTCCCTTTTCTGAAGAAATACTTTAAAGTGGAATGTGCACTCAAAAACAATGAGACATTGAATTGATGTTTGGTTTCACTGACCATAGCTGCGGAAGAAAATTGTCTGGCAAAGAAATTAAAATGTCAGACCAGAACACAATCTGATCGAGTAGACGTGTTTAACAGGAGCAGAAATATATCTCTGAATTATATCTTAGAAGAACACGGAATTGTGCTGTTTTCAGTTTTCTGGCAATTTATTTTCTTTGTCCCGAGCGTGTCTCCAGGAAAGAATTCTGACTTTGAATTTGATTTATTTGGTCAGTAAAATATTGGTAAGGTTGGTGTTGGCATTGCATGTAGCTAAAAGCAGTGCAGCATGTATGTGTGTGTATATATATACGTGTGTGTGTATATATATACGTGTGTGTGTATATACTGTATATATATATATATACTGTTGTGTACATGATTGTACCAGAGGGATATCAAACAGCTGAGGTTGGGCTCTGATCAAAGGATCAATCACAGTGGGGTTATTTCCATGAAGTACAGTACTTGGTAGTTTTTCACACAATCTGCTATCTTTAAAGAACTGTATTTGTCTCCACCTCAGGAGTGCTGCTTGTCTCTGCCCATCATTCTCTTTCACTGCAGCAGAAACTCTAATCCACTCTTTTATCAACCACACTCTGCTGCAGGAGAATTCTCTCAGCAGATACAAAAGGCACTCAACTCATGTCCAGACCTTCTGATGCCTACTTTACGTTTCTCAAATCTCTTGCAGACTGTTTGGACCTCCCTGCATTTTCAAAAACAAACCGCACTTAAGCCCAGCTCTCTCCTGTACTAGTTTTAATAGCTAGTATTTTTACAACAACTTCCTCTGAAAAACTCAACAAAAAAAGATTTCATCTTCAGTTTCATATGGCCGGTAAATGAAGGAACACCTATTGAGTTTGAATGCACAAAAATACATTTTTGAACCTTTATATTGGCCTCCAGCTTGAATGCTAATTAAAATTAAACTTATGTGCTTATCTGCTGTGGTTCTCCCTTCATGTCCATTTGTAGAAATACGTAGCGAGACAGAGAACAGACAGGAAGACGGAGAGCTGTGAATGTGCTGCTGGCACCAGGGTGTCGTATACACCTGCAAAAGCACATTAATATGCATGGATGCTCAAAATGCCACATGCCATGATTTGTATTCCTCCTACATTTTTTTCATATCTTAAAAAGAAAATCAGACACAAATGGTCACAGGTGGTTGAAAAACAAAATCAACATGTTTTGCAGCAAAATATGAAACCCAGCAGGGGCTGAAGATAAAAAAACTGAATCTAGTTTCCTGACCTAGAAAGAAAGTAGGTCAAGGTTTAGTGACTGACCAAGAGGGAAACAGTCATTTATCAACCTGAGGCGCTGGCTGAGCTCCAGTCAGCTGCTCAAGAAAGACAGAACGCACACACATTTACACACATGCACATGCATGTATCAATTTAACCACTGCGTTTCTTTTTAAGTGCACGGCCATAGCTTTAAGGAACCGTGTGAGTCCAAAAATAGCCCTCGGTCTCTGGTCACGGTTTGGCTGGAGTTTGGGCCAATCAGGATGATGTGTTTCTCTGGATGGACTGGCCAATATAATGTATGGTGATTTGAGCTCAGTAAAACATACTGTGGAAAAATGTGGTCTGTGATTATAAGTTGTGAACAGAATGGTCCTTGTGGAGTTGGGACTTGTGTTGACTCTTACCTTGTAAGACTTCTATCAGGTCTGACTTCAGCTCTGACTGAAATGTTTTTTCATTGTTTTCCTTCAGCATTTCTCTCATTTTGACCAGACCGGAGGGACCGTGACCTGGACCCTAGTCTGAAACCAGAAGGCTCAGACTTCTGGAACTTTCTTTGGGTATTGTGGTGAGTATGTATCATATCTACCCAACTGTATGAATATCATCTGTTTAAAATGAGAATTGTTTGAATTCTCTTGACAATACACTCTGATAAATTCTGATTCCACATCACACTTGAACAGTGAAGACAGCAACACTAAACAGGCAGATATTTAATCCCAACGTGTAACTTCACCACTAGGTGTTGCCAACGGATGCATTTCATTCAGCTCGTGTGATGTGGAATAAGTTATGGCTGTTTTTTCTCATGGAGCTGAACACAAGGACTGTAGCACACAACCTCAACATACTGACTTTATTTTTCTTTAATCTCACTGGAACATTCTCAGTCCTCTCTCATTACGAAGCCTTACAAGAATAATCTGAGTCCTGACACACTCTGGTCCCCTGCTGCTGCTGCTGCTGCTGCTGCTGCCGCTGCTGCTGCTGCCACTGTTTTTCAAGGCCTTAGCTCTCCCTGGAGGCAGCTGACACCCCTGGGATCTTATGCTAAAACACACACACACACACACACACACACCACTCTGTATTGACAAAAGACAGCCGTCTCATTGCAACTTATCAAACAACCCCGAGAGACTCTGTTTCACTCAATAATTCATTACCATTTCATCCACTTTTGCAGCCACGAATGAAAATTAAGTGTCTTTTCATTTTTAAAAATACCCAGCTTTGGGTTGCTGGTTCACATGTCACCACCGTCCTCCATCACCTGCTCCAGGTCTGAGGCTTCTGTGGATACCGTTAGAAAGGAAGCACACTGACACCTCACCTCTAGAAACCTGAGTTCTGGCTCCATCATGTTGACGTCTCCAGTCAAAAATGTGATGCATCAAACTCGGTATAATCCATATCGGCAATAAAAGCCTGAAATTCCTGATATATTCTTAAATGTAACAAAAAAAATGACAAAAAGGAAGTAGGTAAAAAGTCAGACTGCTCTCCTTCTCCGTCTCTTTGCCAGCGTTGTGTCTGTCTGCCTTTTTCTCTTTGGTGTAAACAGACGCCTGGCACACTCGCACTCCAGCACACACACCGAAACGTCTGTGTGTGTTCTGATTTTACTATGTTGAAAAAATTGTGTCATTCAGAAGTGAAATCAGACAGCCTACTTTCTCTGGGCATCGTTGTTCTGATAATTTACTACTGTGTCAGGAGGGAATTTGGTCTGAAGCCGAAGACGAGGCCTAAAGAGATTGAGGTTAGAATACACCGAGGTGGAAAAGTTGGTGGAAAAACATGGTTTTAACGTTGACCTGAGAAAATATGATCTGCTAATGTTTAGCCTGGGGTGAGAAGTTTTTAAAGACACGGCCATCACTGGGTTTTTAGTTGTAGTCCTGTGTTTTTGACCTGGTGAACTTGAAGTATTATGTTGTTGAAGTAATAGTTTTTCTCCAGAACTCATTTTTTCTTAATGACGTTGTGTTGGCTAGCGGTGTCTCAGATCAGAAATGTTCATAGCATCTGATTGGCTGAGTGGGCATCAAGAATGACAGCTCCCTTCTTATGAAGGTTCAAAAACTTTGCTTCTCTTCAATTTTTCTTCTGTGCCTTGAATTGTGACATGAAACAATTTGGACCAGACTTGAAATGTGGCTCCAACTCTGATCTGCCGTTTGTTTAGCACTGTCCGGGGGTCTTGTGAAGATTCCCAGGTTAACTCCTGGGATTTTTTAGGCTTGGACTTAAATGTGATGTTTTCACGACCCAGCCTTGTTTTGACACAGACTTGATACTTAGTTTTTGTTTGTTTTTTTTGCTGCTACCAGGCAGGATTTGTCTATCCATCAGAACTGCAGAAATCCATAACAAAATCAACTAAAATTGATTTTAACCTAATTTAATTCAAATTTTAAAAAGTGCTTTGTCAGACACAATCTTTTTTTTTTCAGATTGTTTTGACTAAGTTTGAATGTTAAATACATGCAGCTGTCATTGTGTGACTGGTTGAGTGGCTGTTTGTGTCTGAAAACAGACCATTTGAGGGTGCACTTTTTGATTTTGATTTTGAATACTTCAAGTATGAGGTTTTCAAGTAGAGGTACTCTATGTTGGTGTAACCTCAGTCCAGTCTGACAACCAGAAAGGTCACTGCTGACAGACACTCCTCGTGTCTGTCGTGTTTTATATAAAACAGCAAATCACTGTAAATGTCTGGTTTTAAAAACCAAAACCAAAAAAAATGACAGTTCCAAAAAATCGTATAACAAATAAATTATCCTGTCTATATATGTGAATGTATATTTATATGTGTGTGTATATATGTATATATGTATGTGTGTGTGTATGTGTATGTATATATATATATATATATATATGTATATATATATATATATATGTATGTATATATGT